ACGTCAAAATAAATAATTCCAAATAAACTTAGTGATAATATAATAAATAAATAATTATATTACAATAGTTTGGTTTGTTTAATGTTATTTCGTGTTTCAGAAGCACAAGGTATAAATATACTTTAGAAACATATAAAACCTTATTTAAAATTAATTACATTATTATACATTAAATTTATATATACTATAGATATTTAAATTAGTTTTTTGCTTTAAATTAGTAATAAAACAGGTTAAAGAGGTTTATTTAAGGTATATATATATTTTGACCCATCACCTCTCTGGTCTAATGTTTATTTACATGTAGCCGTTGTCATGGTAACCACGCGCCTACTACATGTATAAATAATTTCTAAAACAGATTTTTTCTCATTTAATAAAAGTATATTTATTATATATGTAAAATAGTTAAAATAAGCAGACGACAGAACGCTTGAGGTACTTCAATAAGTTATCAGATCAGTTTATTGATTACCGCCCTAAGTAGCAGCGTCGCTAATGTTAATGTATTACCACGAACACTACCAGATTCATGGTTAAAGTAAATTTAATTAATTAAACCTATTTTATCATAACCAAAACTAATATAATACTCGTTTGGTTGTCTTGTTCTATATATTTTATTATTGTTTTATTTATTTTATAAGTCACCAAGGAGCCATTGAGGTGTCAGTACAGGACGACCCAGCCTTCTCACCTGTGACTCGGCCTAAGACTCGAACAATGGACACAGCAGGGAGAGACTCTGTACCACTATATATGAATAATGAATCTTAAATTATAATAAAACACTTAATTATATTTACTAATCAATTTAACTACACTATCTACCATTACAAATTATAATAAAACATTCTAATTATATTTATTAATCAATTTTAACTACACTATCTACCATATAAATTATAATAAAACACTTAATTATATTTACTAATCAATTTAACTACACTATCTACCATATAAAAAGATACATAATTATAATAATCCCAAATAAAGTTGAGGCATTGAACAGCTTCTTTTCCACAGTGTTCACAGTGTCTATGTGATGGATGTTCACCTTCCTGTGTTAGAGGACAGACAGTTCAACACAGCACTGACCCACAGTGTTCACAGAAGGGGGTGTTAGAAATAAACTGTCAAAGCTAAAGGTCCATAAGAGTCCTGGCCATGTAACGAGCTTGGCGAGTCACTGAAGATCCTGTTGTGTAAATGCCTGGGTGAACAAAAGGTCCCAGTGATTGGAAAGTGGCTTATGAGAGTCCTGAAGAAGGGCGATCATCACTCCACAGACCAGCATAATATGTAAAGTACTTGAGAGTATCATCAGAGATAGCGATGGAACACTGCTATGAAACAACCTTGTAAAGAATTGCCAACAGGGTTCTATGCCGGGGTCCTGCTGAACACTTTAACACGAGGATAATTCAGAGGGCTTTATTTAGCATTTTCTCGAGCTTGTCAACACCTTTCCCGTCACGAAGGACCAGGGCTGGTGCGTGGTAATCTACCAGAGATCTTATATAGCCTAGGTACAGTGTTTTAACTATTCTAATATTAGCACCATAATGTGGGCTGTACCTCGCTACACTTGTAAGAGGTCTCAGTCTGTCAGTACATTGGCAGGTTAGCTGTTGTATGGCAGGTAGGGTACAAGGGACGGAGACACTAAGATATTTAAAAGAAGAAACATAGTCAATAGTGTTGTTACCTATCTTGAACTTGGTGGGGCCGCGTTTGAGGTTTCCAGCTTGTTTGTTGAACACCTTAGTTTTGTCAGTGGAGATAATGAGACTACTGCTGGTGGTGTTGTGATGGTAGTGGCGGTAATCCCTGGTTCCCTGTGGTGGGTCTACCTAGACTTGCTACTTCGGTTGCCATTTCTATGTATTTAATGTATAAAGTAAGAACAATTGTGTCATCGTCTGGTGTTTTGACAAATACAGCTACTCCTCGACATACGACCACCCGGACATATGACCGCCGCAGTCGCACAAATTTTTCATGTTACGTATTTTCTAGTACTGAAACGTTTTGGTCCCGTACGACAGTGTGGGCTGGGCCGCCTCGTGGTGCACAGCATCCACGCTGTAGTGCCTCAGTTGGTGTTTGGCAGTCGTTGGTAGTGATCGCGCTGTGTACTGACAATATTTTCGTTTATAATTCCCTTTAAAATGACTGGCAAGTGTAAAGTGAGAGTTCTGGTGGAGCTGAGAAGAAGAGGAGATCAATAATTATTTAATGTGGATGAAACTGGATTATTCTGGAAGCGCATGCCAGAACAGACATACATCCACAAAGAGGCAAAATCCATGCAAGGATTCAAGGACTGAATCACACTTCTGTTGGGGGGAATGTAGCTGGTTCAAGGTAAAACCCGTCATGATATATCATTCAGAGAACCCCAGGGCTTTTAAACATGTCAGCAAGTCACACACTGCCAGTGTTTTATCGCAGTAACAAGAAAGCCTGGATGACCCTAGTACTGTTTGAGGATTGGTTCATGAATTGTTTCATTCCACGAGCCAAGGAGTATTGTCTGCAACAACGGATTCCATTCAAGATTTTATAAATTTTAGATAATGCTCCGGGACACCCACCACACCTGGACGACCTGCACCCTCATGTTAAGGTAGTCTACATTCCACCTAACACTACCTCTATCATCCAACCCATGGATCAAGGTGCTATTGCTGCTTTTAAAGCGTATTATTTACGCACGACCTTCGCTCAGGCCGTTGCTGCTACTGAAGGTGAGAAAACTCTCAGAGTTTTGGAAGGACTACAACATTTTGACATGTATAAAGAACAGCATGGGATGAGGTTACAGGTCAGGGCATGAATGGAAGAAGGTCCTGAAAAGATATGTGAACAGTTTCAAAAGATTTAATGAAGATGAAGTTATTTCTGAGATTAGTAACAAGATAGTGGAGTTGGGTCAACAGCTTGAGTTAGAAATTGATAATGAAGATGTTGAACAGTTGGTTGAAAGTGTATCAGAAGAGCTCAGTAACGAGGATCTTATTGAACTGGAGGCACAGAAAATTGCAGAGGAAGAAGAGAAACATAATGTAGAAGAAGAACCTGGACCCACCAAAAAGTTTCAGTTAAACAAATGGCAGAGGCATTTGTTACTATTAATAAGGGGATGAAAATGTTTGAAGATATGGATCAAAATTATTAGTGTTTTGCCAAAGTTGACAGAATGACCCAAGATGCACTTGTTGGCTACAGAGAGATATACAATGAAAAGAAAAGGCAAACTGTGCAGTCTAAATTGGACATAAATTTTAAGAAGTCCCCCACTGCTGTCTCCTCACGCCCCACCACTGCTGCCTCTTAACTCCCTAAAGATGATCCAATACCTTCAACCACCAAGTGATCTGAACCCCATCAATATGGAGCCATGGTTAGGTCGTGGGACACAGACGATGACCCTGGGGGTGCTGTCGACCCTGGGGTGATGGCACCTCAGGGTGTTAGAGGCTGCTGTGTTGTGAGTCATGGATGAGTTCTACTGCCTGGGTGACATGATCAGTGCTGGAGGGGGTGCTGAAGGCTGCTGTGTTGTGAGTCATGGATGAGTACTACTGCCTGGGTGACATGATCAGTGCTGGAGGGGGTGCTGAAGGCTGCTGTGTTGTGAGTCATGGATGAGTTCTGTTGCCTGGGTGACATGATCAGTGTTGGAGAGGGTGATGAAGGCTGCTGTGTTGTGAGTCATGGAATGGGTTCTGCTGCCTGGGTGACATGATCAGTGCTGGATGGGGTGCTGAAGGCTGCTGTGTTGTGAGTCATGGATGAGTTCTGCTGCCTGGGTGACATGATCAGTGTTGGAGAGGGTGATGAAGGCTGCTGTGTTGTGAGTCATGGAATGGGTTCTGCTGCCTGGGTGACATGATCAGTGCTGGATGGGGTGCTGAAGGCTGCTGTGTTGTGAGTCATGGATGAGTTCTGCTGCCTGGGTGACATGATCAGTGTTGGAGAGGGTGATGAAGGCTGCTGTGTTGTGAGTCATGGAATGGGTTCTGCTGCCTGGGTGACATGATCAGTGCTGGATGGGGTGCTGAAGGCTGCTGTGTTGTGAGTCATGGATGAGTTCTGCTGCCTGGGTGACATGATCAGTGTTGGAGAGGGTGATGAAGGCTGCTGTGTTGTGAGTCATGGAATGGGTTCTGCTGCCTGGGTGACATGACTATGTTGGAGGTGCTGACAAGCAAGCAGAGTCATGGATGAGCACTGCTGCCTGGGTGACATGATCAGTGCTGAGGGGTGTTGCAGGCTGCTGTGTTGTGAGTCATGGATGAGTACTACTGCCTGGGTGACATGATCAGTGTTGGAGGGGGTGCTGAAGGCTGCTGTGTTATGAGTCATGGATGAGTACTACTGCCTGGGTGACATGATCAGTGTTGGAGGGGGTGCTGAAGGCTGCTGTGTTGTGAGTCATGGATGAGTACTACTGCCTGGGTGACATGATCAGTGTTGGAGGGGGTGCTGAAGGCTGCTGTGTTGTGACTCAGAAGAGGCTGCAGCCTTTATTGGTGATAAGAGGACTGATCTTGTACTGTAATTTGAAGGGATAGAGAGAAGCTTAATGTTGAAATAAATGAAGAATAAGTTTATTTATTTATTGTCATATAATATTGAAGTAATAAAATAATAATAATAATAATAATAAAAATACAATAATAATAATAATAATAATAAACACTATTATAAACACAGGTACAGAAATATACAGGCAAGACCATGTAATGAATACAGTTCTGGTGACGAAACATAACCTAACCAAAATACTAATATTTAACACAAACCTCATGAGATAAATTTGGGCCCCTAGTATTATATATGGTTCAGCCCCCCACCCTGCCCCCCCCCACCCCCACCTCAATTACTCTCCCCACCTTATCTCCCAGACTATCCTCCCCAGAATACCCAATATACAGTTTAAATTAACACTGTACACCTCCCTTCCCCACTCACACCCCTCCCTCCCCCCTCCCTCTCGGTGTCTCCCAAACCCAGCTGACCTCCCCCTCCCTCCCAAATCCCACTCAGCTAAAATTTGAAGGATCGGTGAATCGTGACGTTAAGATATAGAAGAGGGCCGGCAGAGGCACCAGGGCACAGAGGGGGCCATGTAGGACTCCTTCCCTCAGCTGGGTGATGGCAAGGAGTCCCCAGTGTCCTAGCAAGATGACCAGGTTTCTCACTTCCATGACGCATTCCATTAGTAGACCGGGTATTGACTGTGGGGAGAGTGACTGTTAACTGGTCTGGTAGTGACTGGTGTATTGACTGTGGGGAGAGTGACTGTTAACTGGTCTGGTAGTGACTGGTGTATTGACTATGGGGAGAGTGACTGTTAACTGGTCTGGTATGACTGGTGTGTTAACTGTGGTAATTAACTTGTGTATTAACTGTAGAGAGAGTGACTGTTAACTGGTCTGGTAGTGACTGGTGTGTATTGACTATGGAGAGTAGCTGTTAACTGGTCTGGTAGTGACTGGTGTGTGTGACTATGGGAGAGTGACTGTTAACTGAAATGCTGGGTAGCAGGCTGGTGGTATTGCTGTGGTAATTAACTTGTGTATTAGCTGTAGAGTGACTGTTAACTGGTCTGAGTAGTGACTGGTGTATTGACTATGGGAGTAGCTGTTAACTGGTCTGGTGGTGACTGGTGTATTGACTATGGTGGCTGGTGGCTGGGTCACCAGGCCATGACTGAGGTGTGTTAACTGTGTGTGCTTGTATTAACTGTAGAGAGTGACTGTGCTGGTCTGGTAGTGACTGGTGTATTGACTATGGGGAGAGTGACTGTTAACTGGTCTGGTAGTGACTGGTGTATTGACTATGGGGAGAGTAGCTGTTAACTGGTCTGGTAGTGACTGGTGTATTGACTATGGGGAGAGTGACTGTTAACTGGTCTGGTATGACTGGTGTGTTAACTGTGGTAATTAACTTGTGTATTAACTGTAGAGAGAGTGACTGTTAACTGGTCTGGTAGTGACTGGTGTATTGACTATGGGGAGAGTAACTGTTAACTGGTCTGGTAGTGACTGGTGTATTGACTATGGGGAGAGTGACTGTTAACTGGTCTGGTATGACTGGTGTGTTAACTGTGGTAATTAACTTGTGTATTAACTGTAGAGAGAGTGACTGTTAACTGGTCTGGTAGTGACTGGTGTATTGACTATGGGGAGAGTAACTGTTAACTGGTCTGGTAGTGACTGGTGTATTGACTGTGGGGAGAGTGACTGTTAACTGGTCTGGTAGTGACTGGTGTATTGACTGTGGGGAGAGTGACTGTTAACTGGTCTGGTAGTGACTGGTGTATTGACTGTGGGAGGTAGCGGGATTGCTAACTGGTCTGGTAGTGACTGGTGTATTGACTGCGGGGAGAGTGACTGTTAACTGGTCTGGGTATGACTGGTGTGTTAACTGTGGTAATTAACTTGTGTATTAACTGTAGAAGTGAACTGTTAACTGGTCTGGTGGTGACTGGGTGTATTGACTGTGGGAGAGTAACTGTTAACTGGTCTGGTAGTGACTGGTGTGTGTGGGAGAGTGAGCTGTTAACTGGTCTGGTAGTGACTGGTGTATTGACTGTGGGGAGAGTGACTGTGCTGGTCTGGTGGTGACTGGTGTGTTGACTGTGGGGAGGTGACGGTTAACTGGTCTGGTAGTGACTGGTGTATTGACTGGGGAGGTGACTGTGCTCGTCTGGTACTTGACTGGTGTGTTAACTGTGGTAATTAACTTGTGTATTAACTGTAGAAGTGACTGTTAAACTGAACAGGTAGTGACTGGTGTGATGACTATGGGAGGTGACTGTTAACTGGTCTGGTATGACTGGTGTGTTAACTGTGGTAATTAACTTGTGTATTAACTGTAGAGAGAGTGACTGTTAACTGGTCTGGTATGACTGGTGTGTTAACTGTGGTAATTAACTTGTGTATTAACTGTAGAGAGAGTGACTGTTAACTGGTCTGGTATGACTGGTGTGTTAACTGTGGTAATTAACTTGTGTATTAACTGTAGAGAGAGTGACTGTTAACTGGTCTGGTAGTGACTGGTGTATTGACTATGGGGAGAGTGACTGTTAACTGGTCTGGTATGACTGGTGTGTTAACTGTGGTAATTAACTTGTGTATTAACTGTAGAGAGAGTGACTGTTAACTGGTCTGGTATGACTGGTGTGTTAACTGTGGTAATTAACTTGTGTATTAACTGTAGAGAGTGACTGTGCTGGTCTGAGTAGTGACTGGTGTGTGACTATGGGGAGAGTAGCTGTTAACTGGTCTAGTAGTGACTGGTGTATTGACTATGAAGTGACTGTTAACTGGTCTGGTATGACTGGTGTGTTAACTGTGTGTGAGTGCTTGTGTGTGTGCTGTAGAGGTGACTGTTAGCACTGGTCTGGTGGTGACTGGTGTATTGACTATGGGAGTGACTGTTAACTGGTCTGGTATGACTGGTGTGTTAACTGTGGTAATTAACTTGTGTATTAACTGTAGAGAGAGTGACTGTTAACTGGTCTGGTATGACTGGTGTGTTAACTGTGGTAATTAACTTGTGTATTAACTGTAGAGAGAGTGACTGTTAACTGGTCTGGTATGACTGGTGTGTTAACTGTGGTAATTAACTTGTGTATTAACTGTAGACAGAGTGACTGTGAACTGGTCTGGTAGTGACTGTGTACACATAATAAATCACTAGTTAATCTTTATAAATTAAATATTATACAAAAATTATCACTTAAAGATTATAAACATTTAATTTATGCTGATGATAATCCAACCTCAACCTAACCTAACCTAACCCAACCTTAACCAAATGTGAAACGATTTCCTCCAATTCTCAGCACTAGGAATATTTAGCCACAATCACATTATTATCGGGATTTATCGGGAATTTTGGTCTTTTCCCGATGTCCCGATAAGCCAGCGTCAGTGAGCTAGTGGGCCGAGTTAGACAGTGGGCCAGTGAGTTAGTTGGCCAACCTTACAATAAAATGGCCCCAGATCTAGGATAAAGGGCCCCAAGATCTAGGATAAAGGGCCCCAGATCTAGGATAAAGGGCCCCAGATCTAGGATAAATGGCCCCAAGATCTAGGATAAATGGCCCCAGATCTAGGATAAATGGTCCCAAGATCTAGGATAAAGGGCCCCAGATCTAGGATAAATGGTCCCAAGATCTAGGATAAAGGGCCCCAGATCTCCAAGATCTAGGATAAAGGGCCCCAAGATTCAGGGATAAGGGCCCCAGATCTAGCATAAAGCCCCAAGATCTAGGATAAATGGCCCCAGATCTAGGATAAATGGTCCCAAGATCTAGGATAAATGGCCCCAAGATCTAGGATAAAATGGCCCCAGATCTAGGATAAATGGCCCAAGATTTAGGATAAAGGGCCCCAAGATCTAGGATAAAGGGCCCAGATCTAGCATAAAGTGCCCCAAGATCTAGGATAAATGGGTCCAGATCTAGGATAAATGGCCCCAAGATCTGTAGGATAAATGGCCCAAGATCTAGGATAAATGGCCCCAGATCTAGGATAAATGGCCTAAGATCTAGGATAAAGGGCCCCAAGATCTAGGATAAAAGGCCCCAGATCTAGATAAATGGCCCCAGATCTAGGATAATGGCCCAGATCTAGGATAATGGTCCCAAGATTCAGGATAAATGGCCCCAAGATCTAGGAAATGGCCCCAGATCAGGATAAAGGGCCCCAAGATCTGGGATAAAGGCCCCAGATCTAGGATAAAGGCCCCAAGATCTAGGATAGGGGCCCAAGATCTGGATAAATGGCCCCAGATCTAGGGATAAAGGGCCCCAGATCTGGACAAATGGCCCCAGATCTAGATCAAAGGGCCCCAGATCTAGGATAAAGGGCCCCAGATCTAGGGATAAAGGGCCCCAAGATCTAGGATAATGGCCCCAGATCTAGGATAAAGGGCCCCAGATCTAGGATAAATGGCCCCAAGATCTAGGATAAATGGGCCCCCAGATCTAGGACAAATGGCCCCAAGATTCAGGACAAAGGGCCCCTGAGCTGGAAGGGCCCCAAGAGCTAGGATAAAGGGCCCCAAGATCTAGGATAAATGGCCCAAGATCTAGGGATAAAGGCCCCAGATCTAGGATAAAGGGCCCCAGATCTAGGATAAAGGGCCCCAAGATCTAGGATAAATGGCCCCAGATCTAGGATATCTAGATGGCCCCAAGATCTAGGATATGGCCCCAAGATCTAGGATAAAAGGGCCCCAAGATCTAGGATAAAGGGCCCCAGATCTAGGATAAAAGGGCCCCAGATCTAGGATAAATGGCCCCAAGATCTAGGATAAAGGGCCCCAGATGTACACACAAACGTTTAGGTGTCACCCTACTCACGATGGGGTTAATGTTCCCGGGAAGAAGAAAAATAAAAAAAGTCGCAAATTGTAATATCCTGAATGATTGATTGGTTGATTGATTGGTTGATTGATTGATTGATTGATTGGTTGATTGATTGATTGGTTGATTGATTGATTGGTTGGTTGATTGATTGACTGGTTGATTGGTTGATTGATTGTGGTAATATCATCCCTGGTGACTCAACAGCTTAGTTCACTATGTTGCTTAATTAAAAGCTTAAAACACTTAAATAAAATAACGGAAGGTAAAAAATATTATAAGTAATAAATAACGTAAATAACAAGTAATAAATAACATAAATAACAATAAATAACATAGAACTTTCATAAAAAATATCGTAATAAGGAATCATTATAACATGGGGTTAAATCAGGTAATGTCCAAGCGTGTCAGACGATCGTATAACGTTAACGACATCATTAAAAACAAGTCTGGTCGTTATATGTCCACTTGGAGGCTAAGGGCAGTCTTGTAGGTGTAGTGAAGATGTTACTATGACTCACACACAGCCTCTAGGAGTCTCTGTTTGCTACACAATGTCAGGCTTCACCTCAGAGGCACTTCGCAGTCACAAAAACAGAGTAAAAACACCAGTCGGAAAAACACCAGTCACAAAAACACCAGTCACAAAAACACCAGTCACAAAAACACCAGTCACAAAAACAGAGGAAAAACACCAGTCACAAAAACAGAACAAACGATTAAAAAAAAAACGACGACACGAGTTTTTTTGTTACAAAGGTCAACACTTACAGTTCACTAATATTGTAACTCAAAATTTTATAATACGACGCCAGTTCCTTCACCATCACTGTGCCTTAGTGTGAGACGTGAACCAAACTTAACCTAACCAAACACCTAACTTAACACCAGGTGGAGCTAGGGTGTCTACGGTAATCATCAGGTAATTCTCAACAACATCATATGGCGATACTATATTAAGCAATCATGGTAATATTTAACACATATATATATTAATACAGATTATAATATATAGGTGTGCGTTTATTATGACACACACACACATGACTGACCTGGTCTAGCTGGAAGGCAAAGTGAGCAGCATTTGAGATGATGGAGAGGATGATCACCATGTATGGGAAGGAATAATCTGAAATAATAAAAAAAATATACATAAATTTTCTTTCTTTTACGAGCCACAGGTCATCAGCCCACCCAGGCACACCCGGGTACAGATCATCAACCCACCCGGGTACAGGTCATCAACCCACCCGGCCACAGGTCACCAACCCACCCGGCCAAAGGTTTTATTAATGTACAGAGAAGCATCTTGTTTAAAGTGAGACAGATTGTATGGAAACACAGAAGGCAGAGCATTCAACAGTGTGAGGAAAGAAGGATGTACACTGTGACACCAGCCCATGGTACACAGGATGCTACTTGTGTTACTTGATGTTTCTTGTGTTACTTGATGTTTCTTGGTGTTACTTGTGTTACTTGGTGTTTCTTGTGTTACTTGGTGTTACTTGGTGCTTCTTGTGTTACTTGGTGTTACTTGATGTTTCTTGTGTTACTTGGTGTTACTTGGTGTTTCTTGTGTTACTTGATGTTTCTTGTGTTAATTAGTGCCACTTGTGTTACTTGGTGTTTCTTGTGTTACTTGATGTTACTTGTGTTGTTTTGTGTTTGTGTTACTTGGTGTTTCTTGTGTTACTTGTGTTATTTGGTGTTACTTGATGTTACTTGTGTTACTTGGTGTTTCTTGGCATTACTTGTGTTACTTGGTGTTACTTGTGTTACGTGGTGTTTCTTGTGTTACTTGATGTTACTTGTGTTACTTGGTGTTACTTAAAGCTACTTACACCACAAATGTTCCCAGATTAACCAATAACCACATCACATTAACTGGGAAATAAACTGATACATAACTGGGAAATAAACTGATACATTAACTGGGAAATAAACTGATAAATTAACTGGGAAATAAACTGAAAAATTAACTGGGAAATAAACTGTTTCCTTACATATTAGTCCGGCTCCGACTGCATGGGTGACAATGAGGGCCGGCAGGAAGTACAGGGCCGAGTAGATGGCCGTCTTTCCTCGGCCGGGCAGGAGTTTGGACGGGAGTATCAGCCAGACTAGTAACATCACCATCAAGCATAATGTGTAGAAAACAAACACCATAGAATATCTGGAAGAAAAACTGTATTAAAACACACACACACACACACACATTATCCACATGTATGGTAAAAATACCTACATAAGCCTTTCACACACACATGTACACACTAACAGGACCTGATACACTGTCACACACTATGGGGACCAACTTGAAAAAAACAGATTACACAAACGAAAAATTTTATAGATTTAAAATGTTAAAATTCGAGGATATTAACACCTACTGCTGTGCCCTCTTTGTTTACAAATCTGTGACTCACTTGCTTGACAATAATTATTCCCAGTTCCGTAATAATCAGAGATACAACTTAAGGCCCCCAGAGCTACTAAGACCACCCCCCATGTGCTCCTCTCAGTCCCAGACCTCCATAAAATATCCCAGTGTGAAGGTGTGGAACAACTGACCCATCCCAGCAAAGACTCCGCTCCCTTCCTTTAAATCTCTTAAAAAATATCTATTGTCTAAGTAATAATATTTCTTGTTATACCTACTATATATTCTTGCTTATATTGTACCACCAAAACCATTATATCAGAAATTATCATGTAAATAAATAAGTAATTACTATTGCAATAAATATAATACCCAACTAGTCATAATCCTGACGGCTCTGTCCTCTTGTTCCACCTTAATACACCCCTTGTACTGCTTCCCTCCCTTATTATTAATGTATATCAACTCAACTGTAAAATATGCATAACAGGTAGTTCTGCTATAACGCGATAATTGTGTTCTTGTAAAATATCGTGTTATAGAAAATCGCGTAATAGAAATAACAGGGCTTATGGAGAAAATAGGGTTAGGTGCAGATTACTCGAAATCGAAAAAATTTAGTAGTTAGCCTAACACAAAGGATAGCACAGTCTAAATAAATGTTACATTCATATCTAATAATGAAATCATACAGTAAATTTAACACTTTACCTTGAAAAAATATGAATGTAACTTGATGGGGGAGAAGGGTGATTTTGAGGTTGATAACATCAAGCTTCTCTTCAAGTGTTATATCCTTTCTTTTACGATAATCACCGGGAATTCTATCATCAGAATGCTTTTTGGAGATATTCTTCTTTACCATATTCACAGTTAATACCACAAAATTGGAGAAATAGTAAGCAAAAATCGCGTTATAGCAAACAAGCGATCGCGTTATACAAATATTGTTCCGAATTCATAAATCGCGTTAGAGCAAATTCGCGTTATCAAAACACGCGTTATAGCAGAACTCACTGTATACTTATAATACAAATGTAATAAATAAATAAATAATGAAGTGATAACCGAGGTAACATGTTGTTATTACCACCATACTACTGTACTATTGATACTAAATGCTACATAATACTTCCTTGAGATAAATGTATAGTATATATCAGGTGCCTACACACACTATCAAGATATGTACACACCATCCACATATGTACATACCATCCACATATGTACACACTATCCACACACACACACAGACAGACCCCAATACTCACAGTGGGTAGACAGCCTCCTGGGTAGAGTGCAAGACTCCCTCATAGTTAGGATCAGGGTTGTGGAAGAGTGGATACCAGTCAGCCAGTTTACGAATTTTACACGAGCGGATGTTGAATGATCCATAGGGCTCTGTTACTAGCAGCGTCACCACCGCCGCCACGCCAACCTCCACGATGGCCGATACATATAGAGCCATTACCTCTCGTGTGAACCTGTGTGATAAGGGTCGTTAGTACTGCTGACCTGACCTAACTTAACCTAACATAAACTAATGTAACTTAACCTAATCTTCCCTAACCTAACCTCACATAATGTTCAACATCAACAAGCAATAACAAATGTCAACAATAACATCAACTTACGTTCTTCTCTTAGCCGCTGCGTCTATACAACCAAGATGGAACGTCAGAGGTAACAGCCCCATGAACCCGAGGTAGAGTTTGTCGTAGAACTCTGGGGCGGCGCTACACTCTTCACAGGCGCTGTAGTTGTTACGTCTCAGGCCCCTCTCGCACGCCCCACACGCCGATCACGAGCCATTAACTAGCCTCGTGCGACCGCAGTAACGACCAGGGCAGTTTGATAGGCTGGTCACGACTCCTGGAATGACACGTATCATTAATAAATAAAAACAGAACCTAACCAAACCTAACGTAAACCAAACCGAACCTAACATAAACCTAACCAAACCTAACGTAAACCTAACCAAACCTAACGTAAACCTAACCAAACCTAACATAAACCTAACCAAACCTAACATAAACCTAACCTAACATAAACCTAACCAAACCTAACATAAACCTAACATAAACCTAACATAAACCTAACCTAACATAAACCTAACCTAACCTAACATAAACCTAACCAAACCTAACATAAACCTAACCTAACATAAACCTAACCAAACCTAACATAAACCTAACCAAACCTAACATAAACCTAACCAAACCTAACATAAACCTAACCAAACCTAACATAAACCTAACCTAACATAAACCTAACCTAACCTAACGTAAACCTAACCAAACCTAACGTAAACCTAACATAAACCTAACCAAACCTAACATAACATAAACCTAACCTAACCTAACATAAACCTAACCAAACCTAACGTAAACCTAACCTAACCTAACATAAACCTAACATAAACCTAACATAAACCTAACATTGTAGTGATGGGTTGTCAGACCACAGCTTACATCTCAGAAACAGTCCAGACTTGACCCGACATTAGGGGGGTCAAGTGTAGGGTAACTCGCGGCTGACCAAGGGTTATAAATCAGCCAGGCTCCCCTCCCATGTGACACATGTAAGAAGGCACCGGCCGACTCTCTCCCAATATATACAATAACCTACACCACAGAAGAAGTCCAGACCTGACCTCACATTAGCCAGGGCAAATGTAAGGAGACCCTTCGCCGCCCCCCCCGATCAGCTCAACCTGACGGCTCGCCTCCCAATATATAGGACGTCCTAGTCCTCCCTCTACCTAGAGTGAGAGAGAGACAGAGAGAGAGTGTGTCTTGTAACCAAGAAGGGCCAGCTACCACGTCCCCAGTCCCGCTCGAGAGAAGCCCGCCACTAAGTGTAACGAAGTCTCAGCCGGGTCCACCGACAGAGTGCTGTCAACTCAACGTGTAACAGTAAGTGCTGGCTGTGTAGACGGTAGAAGTGCGGTGATCCCGAACCTCCCCAACGATCGACTTAGTGAAGTGCCCATTCTAATTGTGAGGTTAGGTTATACGAGAATACCATAGTCTATCATAAATTGTGTACGAACCCCCCCATTAACCCCCCCTATTGAACTAGTAAAATAAAGCTGTAACACGCATTGGTGTTTTATATACTACACTTGTACTGAGCCTGTGTTAATATACAGTGTTGACATCACACCCTCGAGACACGCTACCATTTCCTCTCGCTATAATATTCTACTACTATAACCTCCTAACTTACCTCTTCATGTGAGATTTTGTCTCATTACAACATAAACCTAACCTAACCAAACCTAATCTAACCTAACCTAACCTAACCAAACCTAATCTAACCTAATCTAATCTAATCTAATCTAACCTAACCTAACCAAACCTAATCTAATCTAATCTAACCTAACCTAACCTAACCTAACCTAACCTAACCTAACCAAACCTAATCTAACCTAACCTTTAAAAATATTAAGAATTACTTTCGAGTTTATGGTCAGACTTTCATAACTACAGAACTTGTCAAGATGAGGACGTGTAGAGCAATGTCTGTGTGACGGAAACAACACATTTATTTAGTGAGATACAACCATATTAAAACCTACAGGTTATCTACAGGCTACAGGTGTCTACAGGTTACAGGTTATCTACAGGCTGCAGGTGTCAACAGGTGTCTACAGGCTACAGATATCTATAGGGGCCTACAGGCTACAGGTGTCTACAGGCTATACCCTAGTTGACCATCACCCCACCTTTCTCATAATGGAAGCCTTTAGTCTCCTTGAAGGTCACTACCCCACCCACGACACTCAGTAACACCAGTATAACCAAAGTGTTTCCGGCAGACATATTTTATGGCCTTAATTAAGGTTAAAACCGTCCTAGTGAGAGACAGTCGGCCATCATGTAAACAACACTTGGCACTATGTTGGTTCTGTTACCCCGGACGGATATATAATTCATATATTATTGTAGACATTTTATATACATTAAAGTGTATTTAAATTTATTACAATAAATAAATAAATGTTTTATTTTGATTTTAATTGGATTTTTAATGTTTAATTTAACATATAATTGAGTTAAAAATTTGTTTGTGGTATTTATTGTACATTAATATTCTCTAAGCGATGTCTTAGCCAATCAGCATTCATCTTTTTTCTTCTTCCTGACCAATCACAAGCCTTTCTTTAATATGTGAGTGATCATACGTATAAGTTTATTTACAAATTATCAAAGCAACAAATATAATTAATTATATTTATTTCGAACAAAAAATCATTAAATTATATAATAATTTTTTATTAAGACGATATATAATAATATCTATCTAATTACTAGTAAGATTTTTATTACTTTATATGCTTTCAACAGAGTACCTAAGATTTATATATTTAACACTAACAACTGCACTTATTGCTTTATATTACTTATTACTTATTATTTTCTTTACTTACATACTTTATCTTCTCCACTGATCCGTCACGTCGTTTTCTTTAGGTTAAGGTGGGGAATGGATGGGGGGCTCAAGACATGAGGGGCACAAGTCAGTGGGGGGTAAAGGCTGGAAGAGAAGTTTAATGAGTTAAACAGAGGGGGACGGCACCCCTTGTTTAACATATTACAGAGTTTGTTGGCGAACTAAGCTAACCTAGGATTTAGTATAAGAGCGTGGACCTGTGGTAGCATGGCTCGAGGGGTCAGGCCCATGGGTGGACCTGTGGTAGCATGACTCGAGGGGTCAGGCCCATGGGGACATGTAATTATGGTATCAAGCAACAGGAAGGAACAACGGCAAACACTGCAGGTGAATAATAGACCCAACAAATACAGTAGAGTCTTCATTTATGCGGTCAATTGAACCCGTGGAGGTCCGGGTAAACGAAATAACAGAACATATGGGATTAATTGAAATAGAGACTGAGCCGACCCCCAAACTCCACTTTTTCCGACACAATACCTACGTTGTAGTATAAATAACTTCTTAATTTTATGATGGTATGCACATACAATTAATAATTAAGAGAAATATCATTAATATTAGGTTTTTTAATACTTACGTTAGTAGAAGAGATGGCTGGGCACACAGGGATGGGGGGTTGGTTCCGAGGCAGAGGGCAGATTATTGGCCCTCACCTGTGTCACTTGTATCACTATCCACCACAGAGGCTTGCAGGGCCTCTTTGTCAAACCCCTCAAAGTCGATATTCTCACTATGACTGATTTGGGCCGGCTGTGTTGGGTGGCGGGTGAAGAACTTGGTAATGTTTTGTTGACTGGGCGACCTTGTGCGCACCCTGCCCGCGCCGCTTCCCAAACAAATGATGGAATGAATCGTGTAACCAATAATTGTCGGTCTGGCCAGGTGCCGTGTAAATGACCAAACTCGTAAACCAAATCCGCATAAATCGAGACTATACTGTACAATGGTTTATTAAAAACACAAAATGGTTATTAAAATGACGTTATATTAATGCACAAATAGGAACTCACTTTGTACCATGGCCCTCTGATCCAATTTCTACTTACACCACGACTGGATGTACATACACAATAACACACAAACTCTCTCACAACACCTTAGCACCATTAAAACCCATGGCAATGACACCAGTTACCACACTTGACTGCCCAAGCAGAACCAGACATAACCCTCAACAGCACCAGGAGTAATACTCAAGCAGCACCCGCCATGGTAGAGTTCCCATCTCGTGGCGCCTTCCAACAAACTCAGCCACAAGATGGGGGCTGGCAGTTGTTTGTTGGGCCGGATTACGTTATGGACTTGTAGTGGATACTTTCCCCTACAACTGCCGACTGATCACCTGCCGTTCGCTTACCAGCCAATCAGCTTACAGCCAGCTACGTCGACAGACTAACTCTCAGGTAAGGACGTAGGGGTACAATCGCCGACCAAGCTTGGACCTTCACCTCCCGCCTAGGATCAGCGCGCCAGCCGCCTCGCGCGTACTGCACGGTGATTGGCTCCGCACAATTCACACCTCGCATCTCTGATCCTGAGCAGTCGTATAAATACGCGTAGGCCTGGCTATGGAACTGATTCTACTCTACTCTCCTGAATCAGCAAGACCTCTCAACAAGCACCTCACCACACAGCAACTCCCTAGCACTGCACTGTACATACAATATATATACAGAAACGCATTGTGAGTTTCTCTTCTACCTCCATCCTGAGTGTGAGATATCTTACATGTGAGCCCATACAAAGAGATATAGACAAGCTAAGAGAATTTGACAACTGGCAACATACAGTACGCTACAAACTCACTAGTTGCGACTTGTTAAATGTGAATTTATATCATGTAAGTTTTAATCTAAGGTGGATCACTGTGGCGGACATAGATGGGTCGCGGGTTGGGTTGTTGTAGTGATGGCAGACTCACCAGGCGTGGGGACGCCCTCAGCTGATGGTCTGGGCTGTGAGGGTCGTCCAGGAGCTTGTCCCAAACCTTCTTCCCTAGGCGATGGAACCTGACGTTGGGGGCCCCTGTTTTATTTCTTAGGTGGCTGGTTTCAACTGTCTCCTGGTAGGGTGGAGCTTGACCACTGGCTGACCTCAAACACTTGTTTTGGAAGCTCTGTGGTTGTTGTAGTCTGGTCTTCCCGGGGTAACGAGTGGTATATGTGGCTACTCCAACACAGGCCTCACCAGCGCCTTGTACAGGTGGACTTGTATCTTCTCAGGCATCAGTTTAAAACGTTTTTATTTGGCTGCGATGACTTTGGCTTTATTTAGTCTGTCCTTCACTCGGTCACGTCTCTGTTACACACTGTTGGCAAGTACTGGGCATGTACTGGCTCTCTGTTACACACTGTTGGCAAGTACTGGCTCTCTGTTACACACAGTTGGCAAGTACTGGGCATGTACTGGCTCTCTGTTACACACTGTTGGCAAGTACTGGGCATGTACTGGTTCTGTTACACACTGTTGGCAAGAACTGGCTCTCTGTTACACACTGTTGGCAAGTACTGGCTCTCTGTTACACACTGTTGGCATGTACTGGCTCTCTGTTACACAGTTGGCAAGTACTGGGCATGTACTGGCTCTCTGTTACACACAGTTGGCAAGTACTGGGCATGTACTGGCTCTCTGTTACACACTGTACTGGACATGTACTGGCTCTCACACTGTTGGCAAGTACTGGCTCTGTTACACAGTTGGCAAGTACTGGGCATGTACTGGCTCTCTGTTACACACTGTTGGCAATACTGGCTCTCTGTTACACACCGTTGGCAAGTACTGGGCATGTACTGGCTCTCTGTTACACACAGTTGGCAAGTACTGGGCATGTACTGGCTCTCTGTTACACACTGTTGGCAAGTACTGGCTCTCTGTTACACACAGTTGGCAAGTACTGGCTCTCTGTTACACACTGTTGGCAAGTACTGGGCATGTACTGGCTCTCTGTTACATACTGTTGGCAAGTACTGGGCATTTACCCCAATTTAAGTTAGGTCAGGTCAGGTCAGGTTAGTGTTAGGTCAGGTGAGTCATGAGGTAAGCAAACGCACAATATAATTACACAATATATACTTTTATCTTCAGGTAACAAATACAGTAATTACAAAATATTAAATTGCTTAAAACTAACTTAATTACTCACTTAACAGCCACTTACTACTTAATTACTTACATACACACACACACACCACTTACACACAATGACTAGTACACCTTTCTTGCGCACACACACACACACACTATTAAACACACACTATACGCACACACACACACACATATATACATAAGTATCACATACTAATGGTGTCTTATGTAGTCTATGATGGTGTAGTGAAGATGATTATCCTGCATTTAACATCATCATCACCATCATTATCCAGTCACTGTAGTTGTTATAGCACGCGTCATCACCTCACACTATGCGCCGTCACCTCACACTCTGCGCCGTCACCTCACACTATGCGGACTTGGTGAAACAGCCCGCCCTTGATGGACACAGCAGGGAACTGAGCCACCCATTGGTGAACTAAAGTAGAGTGAATCTGCTCACAAAAACTCACATCAAGTAGTTCAAGTTGTGGGCACGTCTGGAGTAGTCTGAAGGTGGAGAGGGGGTTGTTAGTGAGAGGGAGAGGGGTGGAGAGGGAGGGAGAGAAGGGGGAGAGAGGGAGAGGGGGAGAGAGGGGTGAGAGAGGGAGAGAGAGGGAGAGGGAAGATAAGGAGGTAGGAAGAGAGAGAAGGACTATACTATTTAAATTAAGGTTTATAGTTTAACCCAACCCAAACTAACCTCCCCTGACCTCCCCACCCCAAACTAACACCCCAAACCAACCTCCCCACCCCAAACTAACCTCCCACCCCAAACTAACCTCCCCACCCCAAACTAACCTCCCCACCCCAAACTAACCTCCCCACCCCAAACTAACCTCCCCTGACCTCACCTGTAGACAGTATCAGGAGTGACATTTCTAGTGCCCATAATATCCAGCTGGGTAAGGCCGTGTGAGTGAGTTATCAGCTGGTGCAGATCATGATCAGTCAGTGTCCGCAGGGCTGTGAGGTAGAGCCTCTTGAGATCCTTGCAACCTCTGGCTAGATCACCCAGACCCTCTGTGATGCCTCCTGATAACCTGTGGATAGATCGGTAAACATACAGATAAATAGGCAGACAGACACAGTGACTCAGTGATGTTTACACAGGTACACACAAGACACACACAGGTACACACAAGACACACACAGGTACACACAAGACACACACAGGTACACACAAGACACACACAGGTACACACAAGACACACACAGGTACACACAAGACACACAGGTACACACAAGACACACACAGGTACACACAAGACACACACAGGTACACACAATACACACAGGTACACACAAGACACACACAGGTACACACAAGACACACACAGGTACACACAATACACACAGGTACACACAAGACACACACAGGTACACACAAGACACACACAGGTACACACAAGACACACACAGGTACACACAAGACACACACAGGTACACACAAGACACACACAGGTACACACAAGACACATCCTTGACCACCGAAGGGTCAAGACGTACCTGGCGCTCCTCTCGGAGCAGCCAGGTCAACTGTTAAGTTGGCCCATACCAACCCCCTCCCCTGAACCACTTCTCCCCACCGGAGTATCAACAGGTTCTCGCCAGAAGTTACAATTTCATTTGGGAAAGGAATGGAACCAGTGTTAAACAGAGGTGAACATTGGTGAACAGTGCTTGAGTCAGTGAGAACAACTCAACAGTAACAGTGGTATTCAAGTTAACCTTCACACAGTGAGGTCCCAGGTACCCAGTGATAACGGCCCGTGAGACCCAACAACCGGCGATGTGTTAATCCGTCTACGATAGGAAGGCCTGGGGCCACACCTCACTCATATAACACCATCTGTGAGGGAATTACTACACCACGTCAAGTCCCTCATAACACCATCTGTGAGGGAATTACTACACCACGTGATGCCCCTCATAACACCATCTGTGAGGGAGTTACTACACCACGTCAAGTCCCTCATAACACCATCTGTGAGGGAATTACTACACCACGTGAGGTCCCTCATAACACCATCTGTGAGGGAATTACTACACCACGTGATGTCCCTCATAACACCATCTGTGAGGGAATTACTACACCACGTCAGGTCCCTCATAACACCATCTGTGAGGGAATTACTACACCACGTCAGGCCCCTCATAACACCATCTGTGAGGGAATTACTACACCACGTCAGGTCCCTCATAACACCATCTGTGAGGGAATTCGTACACCACGTGATGCCCCTCATAACACCATCTGTGAGGGAGTTACTACACCACGTGAGGCCCCTCGTAACACCATCTATGAGGGAACTACTACACCACGTGAGGCCCCTCATAACACCATCTGTGAGGGAATTACTACACGTGAGGCCCCTCATAACACCATCTGTGAGGGAATTACTACACCACATCAGGTCCCTCCTAACACCATCTGGGAGAGAGTTACTACACTACGTGTTTGCTGTTCAACACCTACATTAATCTGAATGTTCACTGTATGTTCCTTTACCTTTCTCTAATGAAGGCTTTTGTTAAACCACCAATGTATGTAATAAGTCATTTATGTCCAATGTATATTTTCAGCCTTCGGGCTGCAGAACTTTTTCAATAAACCGTTAATTATTATTATTATTATTAAGACACACACACAGGTACTCACGCCCAGCCCAGGTCCAGGTCCTGTAGGGTAGGGATACAAGCTAAGGCTCTGAGGCCACGATTAGTGATGCCATGAGTCTTCCAGGCGGTCAGAGACACCAGGCCCTTGTTGAACGTGGCCAGGGTTAGGGCCACCTCATCCATATCCAGCTGTGTGCAGTTATCTGTGGCCAAGAGAGTTATTATTGACACCTAACTGTTGTCACCTGAGTTATTATTGACACCTGAGTTATTATTGACACCTGAATGTTATTGACACATGAGTTTTTATTGATACCTGACAGTCATTGACACTCGACAGCCTAGGTAGTAGGCAGGTACCAAACAGGGAGGTACTGGGAAGATATTGGAAGCATAATGTGTTGTCTAATGGTTGACTCTGCTGCTGCCATATGTGACCAAGTCCCAGGTTGATGATCTGACTTTCTGCCTCATTTACACACAGGGTCTCAATTGTTTCTCTGGCAGCACAGCACAGCACAGCACAGCACAGCACAGCACAGCACAGCACAGCACAACACAGCAACACAACACAACACAACACAGCACAACACAACACAGCACAACACAGCACAACACAGCACAACACAACATATATTGTTTCTCACTACAGGTATTGATCTTAATTTATTTTATTTCTTTATGGTTCTTTATTACTATTATTATTGCAGTGTTATTATTATTATTTTATTATTTTTATTTTTGTATTTTTGTTAATATATACAGTACTTATTTTTACCACAATAAAACATTCTGCAACAACAGAGCAACACTCACTTAAGCTCAGGTGTCGCAGTTGGCCAGCATGTTGCAGAAGAAGTTGCAAGGTGTGGAAATCTATGCGCGTCCGTGAGAGGTCCAACCTGCACAGTGCCCAGGCTTTCTTCAGCTCACCGAAGCCCAGATGGTCAACCTTAATGCAGTTAGCCATACTTAACTCTGTCGTTGAGAGTAAAGTAACAGTCAGGAACAGTAAGTAACAGTCTGGAACATTAAGTAACAGTCTGGAACAGTAAACTATGTAAAGTAACAGTCAGGAACATTAAGTAACAGTCTGGAACATTAAGTAACAGTCTGGAACAGTAAACTATGTAAAGTAACAGTCAGGAACATTAAGTAACAGTCAAGAATATTAAGGAACAGTCTGGAACAGTAAACTATGTAAAGTAAGTCAGGAATATTAAGGAACAGTCTAATATGTAAAGTAACACTCAGGAACATTAAACACTATAAAGTAACACTCATATGTTCCTTCCAACTAAAATACCTCCCTCCCTGCCTGACCCCTCTCCTCCCTCCCTGCCTGACCCCTCTCCTCCCTCCCTGCCTGACCCCTCTCCTCCCTCCTCCTCCCCTCCCCCTGCCTGACCCTCCTCCCCTGCCTGACCCTCCTCCCTCCCTGCCTGACCCCTCTCCTCCCTCCCTGCCTGACCCCCTCCTCCCTCCCTGCCTGACCCTCTCCCTCCTGACCCCTCTCCTCCCTCCTCTGCCTGACCCCTCTCCTCCTCCCCTGCCTGACCCTCCTCCCCCCTGACCCTCTCCTCCTCCTCCCTGACCCTCTCCTCCCTCCTGACCCCCCCTGACCCTCTCCCCCTCCTGACCCTCCTCTCCTCCTCCTGACCCCTCTCCTCCCTCCCTGACCCCTCTCCTCCCTGCCTGACCCCTCTCCTCCCCCACTCACCTTCAAGACTCAAGCAGACATTAGCAATCATATACAAACAATAATTATCAATAAAATGACAATTATTTAGCCTTAAAGTCGTCAGCTGTCGACCAGAAGAGTGTATGAACTCCATGAAGGTGTGAGTGTGTAGAGCATCATAAGGTCCACACCAGGAGAGGTCTAGTGCCTGGAGGAGGGAACACCGCCCAGAGAGGTATTCTAGGGTGGTGTTGTTGACCAGCCACCAACAGTTCTGTGGGGGAAGGGATGATTAGACTGTTTAATGACTGTAATAGACTGTGTGTAGAGCATCATAAGGTCCACACCAGGAGAGGTCTAGTGCCTGGAGGAGGGAACACCGCCCAGAGAGGTATTCTAGGGTGGTGTTGTTGACCAGCCACCAACAGTTCTGTGGGGGAAGGGATGATTAGACTGTTTAATGACTGTAATAGACTGTGTGTAGAGCATCATAAGGTCCACACCAGGAGAGGTCTAGTGCCTGGAGGAGGGAACACCGCCCAGAGAGGTATTCTAGGGTGGTGTTGTTGACCAGCCACCAACAGTTCTGTGGGGGAAGGGATGATTAGACTGTTTAATGACTGTAATAGACTGTGTGTAGAGCATCATAAGGTCCACACCAGGAGAGGTCTAGTGCCTGGAGGAGAACACCCAGGTTTCACCCCCGTGACTGTTGTCTGGTGTTTGTTCACCAGTCTGTTCCTCCGAGTGTTTCACCTCCTCCCGGTGGCTGTTCCTCCGAGTGTTTCACCTCCCTCCCAGTGGCTGTTCCTCCGAGTGTTTCACCTCCTCTCAGTGGCTGTTCCTCCGAGTGTTTCACCTCCCCTCTCAGTGGCTGTTCCTGAGTGTTTCACCTCCCCTCAGTGGCTGTTCCCAGTGTTTTTCTGTGGCTGTTCCTCCAGTGTTTCAAGTGGCTGTTCCTAGTGTTTCACCAGTGTTTCCTCCTCCCAGCTGTTCCTGTGTTTCACCTCCTCCCAGTGGCCCAGTGTTTCACACCCTGTTCCTCCAGTGAGTGGCTGTTCCTCCTGTTTCACCTCCCCCAGTGCTCCTCCCAGTGCTGTTCCTCCAGTGTTTCCTCAGTGGCTGTTCTCCAGTGTTTCACCTCCCTCCAGTGGCTGTTCCTCCGAGTGTTTCACCTCCCTCTCAGTGGCTGTTCCTCCAGTGTTTCACCTCCCTCCAGTGGCTGTTCCTCCGAGTTTCACCTCCCTCTCAGTGGCTGTTCCTCCGAGTGTTTCACCTCCTCTCAGTGGCTGTTCTCCAGTGTTTCACCTCCCTCCCAGTGGCTGTTCCTCCAGTGTTTCACCTCCTCTCAGTGGCTGTTCCTCCGAGTGTTTCACCTCCCTCTCAGTGGCTGTTCCTCAGTGTTTCACCTCCCTCCCGTGGCTGTTCCTGAGTGTTTCACCTCCTCCCAGTGCTGTGTGTCCCAGTCCTCTCCAGTGTTTCAGTTCCTCCTCACCTCCGGTGGCTGTTCCTCCGAGTGTTTCACCTCCTCCCAGTGGCTGTTCCTCCGAGTGTTTCACCTCTCCCAGTGGCTGTTCCTCCGTGTTTCACCTCCCTCTCAGTGGCTGTTCCTCCAGTGTTTCACCTCCTCCCAGTGGCTGTTCCTCCGAGTGTTTCCTCCTCCCAGTGGCTGTTCCTCAGTGTTTCACCTCCTCTCAGTGGCTGCTCCAGTGTTTCCTCCCAGTGGCTGTTCCTCCGAGTGTTTCACCTCCCTCCAGTGTTTCACCTCCCTCTCAGTAGCTGTTCCTCCAAGTGTTTCACCTCCTCCCGGTGGCTGTTCCTCAGTGTTCACCTCCCTCTCAGTGGCTGTTCTCCAGTGTTTCACCTCCCTCTCAGTGGCTGTTCCTCCGAGTGTTTCACCTCCCTCCCAGTGGCTGTTCCTCCAGTGTTTCACCTCCCTTCAGTGGCTGTTCCCGAGTGTTTCACCTCCTCCCAGTGGCTGTTCCTCCAGTGTTTTACCTCCTCCCGGTGGCTGTTCCTCCAGTGTTTCACCTCCTCCCAGTGGCTGTTCCTCCGAGTGTTTCACCCCTCCCGTGGCTGTTCCTCCGAGTGTTTCACCTCCCTCCCAGTGGCTGTTCCTCCCGAGTGTTTCACCTCCCTCCCGGTGGCTGTTCTCCAGTGTTTCCTCCCTCTCAGTGGCTGTTCCTCCGAGTGTTTCACCTCCTCCCCTGTTCCTCAGTGGTGGCTGTTCCTCCGAGTGTTTCACCTCCCTCCCAGTGGCTGTTCCTCCAGTGTTTCACACCTCCTCCCAGTGGCTGTTCCTCCAGTGTTTCACCTCCTCCCAGTGGCTGTTCCTCAGTGTTTCACCTCTCCCAGTGGCTGTCCTCCCAGTGGCTGTTCCTCCGAGTGTTTCACCTCCCTCTCAGTGGCTGTTCCTCCGAGTGTTTCACCTCCCTCCCGGTGGCTGTTCCTCCGAGTGTTTCACCTCCCTCCCAGTGGCTGTTCCTCCGAGTGTTTCACCTCCCTCCCAGTGGCTGTTCCTCCGAGTGTTTCACCTCCCTCCCAGTGGCTGTTCCTCCAAGTGTTTCACCTCCCTCCCGGTGACTACGTGTATTTATCAGTTATATAAGTGATCTGAGATACATCCAGCCGCACAAACTGTAGTCCATTACTTATTGTGTTATGTGTTTGTTTTTATTGTTTCCGTTTGTTTTATGTTTGGTACAAAACAAAGACATAATGAAAAGACTTCAATCTAAAACAAATTCATCTTTGACTGACTTTTTTATGATAAATATTTATAATTTTCTAACATCCTCTCTGAAGTACTAATGCCTTGAGGTCATTAATGCCTTGAGTTCATTAATGCCTTGAGTTCATTAATGCCTTGAGATCATTTACATTATCATAGTCCAGATATTTAACATTATATTATATAATAACAGCTCTACTGACCTATTGTAAACACATATAGTTACTAAATTATGAACCAATCAGCTGTTAGTATAGACGAGGGGCGTGGCTTATGGGCCAGATTAGCGTAGTAACACCTTGAAGTGTTTGCTTTATATACAAACAGTATAATTATACCTCAATTATGTAAACAGTATAATTAAACTACAAAAATGACCCAATATTTACAATAAACTCAGCCCCTTGTCTCACTCAGTGCCTAATATGGAATAATGAAAATAATGGAAACAATGGGATTTTAATTATGGATTTTTGCGGTGAATGCGTTGGGATCCTGTTTGTAATTGTTTGGTAGGTGTGGGCGATCATAGGTCAGGTGTCTATAACTCTGAGACTGCCTATACACATATTATGTATAGTAGGTAACATTTATGAGACCATGGACGATAAATTATGGTATATGAGGGCTGTCACCAGTCACACGTAACATTTATGAGACCATGGACGATAAATTATGGTATATGAGGGCTGTCACCAGTCACACGTAACATTTATGAGACCATGGACGATAAATTATGGTATATGAGGGCTGTCACTAGTCACACGTAACATTTATGAGACCATGGACGATAAATTATGGTATATGAGGGCTGTCACCAGTCACACGTAACATTATGAGACCATGGACGATAAATTATGGTATATGAGGGCTGTCACCAGTCACACGTAACATTTATGAGACCATGGACGATAAATTATGGTATATGAGGGCTGTCACTAGTCACACGTAACATTTATGAGACCATGGATGATAAATTATGGTATATGAGGGCTGTCACTAGTCACACGTAACATTTATGAGACCATGGACGATAAATTATGGTATATGAGGGCTGTCACTAGTCACACGTAACATTTTAGGGAGCATATCGATCCCCACCTGTACAGAAAGACTTTTAGACACAGCCAGTGGTGTATTCTTAATGACTGCAAGGCACGTATATAGTATCTTCAATAACACAGATTTAGTTTTAGATTCTTGACAGTTTTCACTCAGGAAAGTGGAGGAGACTCAGCGTCCTTCAGTGTATGCTGAAGGATAAGCCACACGCCCTCAATGGTCACATACACGTAACCATCGTAACAATAACATGCTAAAATATACTTTACTGTGTTTAAGGAATTTGAGCCATTTTAGTAAAGTTTAATACTTGTTTGCCTTGCACTGTATACCTACACTGTCTATATGCATGTTAAACTGTATACAATAGAAATGGACCTCAAATTCAAGGTTAGGTTAGGTATTATTTTATTTAAGGAATGTAATTACCACAGTCAGTCAATCAACCAATCATTGCTCACCTTAAGGTTCAGGTTCATATATAAACAAGGCTCAGAGGTGTAGCGGTGGAGGAGTCGACAGGTGAGTGAGAGGCGGCACAGCGTTCTCAGGTCCAGGTGGCGTAGAATGTACAGTATGAGTTCCTCCTGAGAGCGTAAACACACAGTGAGGGGAATGGTTTTGTTCCTCGATTTACAAAACAAAAACAAACGCCCTGTGAAGTTTTTTTTCTCGATTTACAAGACGAAAATAATCATGTGTGACGTTTTCTCGATTTACAAAACAAAAACAAACTTGCATTATCTTTTGATGATTTACAATGGTTGATTAGAATTATTTATCTGGAATGGAAACCTGATATAAACCAAAGGGGGGTCTCAATGCAGTCTTATAGAGGTAGTGTTTTATTTATTGCATATTTCCAGCTCACGGATTTGATGTTTTAATGGGAAAAATATACCACACACAGACACAAACAGATGCATATACACACATAAATACATATACACACACACATGAATGCATATACACACAGCCACATACATACACACATACTTACCGGCAACAGATCAAAATAACCTCCATTTGTTCCACCATCATCCAGAGCATCCGGCGCCTCACAGACATCCACCAGAGTTAGGGTCTTGCTTGGACAATCCTCCACCATCCGTGCATCCATCAGATCAGCCTTCTCCTCCCTGATTGGCTCATCCGCCTCCTTTGCTTCAGCCAATAGCCTCTGTACATTTTCTTCGGATAAGAGAAATCGGACACCAGCCAAGATGTCTTCCTCGCACCTGGTGACGGTAATATGGTGTTAGTGGAGATAATATGGTGTTAGTGGTGATAATATGGTGTTAATGACTCTCTTTCACCCATTCCCCCACACTCACCCATGCCCCAACACTCACCCATCACCCACACTCATCCATCACCCACCTGGCAGTATGTAGACCAAGTTTTATAACCTGGGAAGTAATAGTATCAAGACTGGCCACTTGGGTCCTGCTAGCAGTATGTGTCGACCCAACTAGCACAATAGCATCCAGGGCTGAGTAGTACGTCTGGCCGAGCTGGTCGAACTCTATCCTTAGTAAACTGAAATATATTGGGGTTACGTTAGGTATTGGTTGGGTTTGGTTGGTTTTTGGTTGGGGTTACGTTAGGTATTGGTTGGTTTTTGGTTGGGGTTACGTTAGGTATTGGTTGGTGTTTGGTTAGGTTGGGTTAGGTTAATATACAAGCTTGGTTGCTACTATATACTACACACTGTAACATCACCATAGGTACAACACCACTTACTTCACAACACCACCACAACACTACTTACTTCACAACACCACCACAACACCACTTACTTCACAACAACACCACCACAACACCACTTACTTCACAAGACGAGATGTATGCATTAAAGGCGGAGAAAAAATCCTTGCTTCACCCTTGAGTCCAGACTGTGGTTCACCAGCCCAGAGGAGCACCCAGGCATGACCCTCCAGTGACCCCCATATCCTCACTACACTGCCCGGGTGGTATGTCTCGTAGATATCCACACGGATCGGGTATACTGGGTGCTCGTATTTCACATCTGTGGAAGTGTATGGCGTTGTATTTTATGCGTATACGGTAATTATATATACGTACACACAGTAATGCAATGATTATATGCATACACAGATACAGTACAACAAACACACAGATTTATGGAAGGTGAACGCCATAGTTGAACATATGTAAACTTAACCTAACCCAAAATACTAAAACAAGCAAAAAAAAAACATAACAAACACACTAAAACATACAAACAACTACAACAAACACACCCAAACACGTGTCTCCGCAGCCATACATCAGGTCGAGTACTGTAGACACACAGACTTGACGTCAGAGCCAGGAGTAAGGCTTCAGGCACTTGTAGGAACTCTCTTGTATATTTCATGGTTAGGTTAGGTTAGGGTGGGTGGGGGGAGGGTGGGGTTGGTTAGGTTAAGGTAGGGGTAGGGTGGGTTAAGGTGGGTTAATGTTGGGTAGGTTAGGTTAAGCTGTGTGTGTTATATTAATGTCCACCGCCAGAGAAGCATCTTGTTTAAAGTGAGACAGATTGTATGGAAACACAGAAGAAGGCAGAGTATTCAACAGTGTGAGGAAAGAAGGATGTACTATAATGGGTTATTATAGTGTGACCCACATCCACACTGTGACACCAGGCCACGGTACACAGGATGCCGCCCGTTAAAGTACCTGTAAAAGAGAGAGAGTGACGCAACATTGTGGTGAAGAGAAGAGAGATTATCAACTAAAGGAGGAGAGTTAATAAGCCTTTGATTCCACCCTATCTAACAGTTGAAGAGCCACCCCAGATATGAGAGCAGTACTCCAAGTTAGGACCAATGAATCCCTTATATACTTGAACCAACAGCTCAGAAGTGAAGTACCTATGGCATCTGTACAGCATTCACAGCTTTCGGGAGGCAGCTTTAGCTATGTTGAGGATGTGTGGCTTCCATGACATATTAGAGGAAATGGTGAGGCCTAGCATATCTATTTTAGTACTTAGCAGAATAATAGTATCCTGAAATGTAATTGGTGGGAGATCATGTAAATTACAAAGTGTAATTGGTAAATACCGAGTTTTATTACAATTGAATTTAACCAAGTTTGTACCTCCCCATTCAGAGATGCTGCACAGATCAACATTGATAGCTGCAATGATACAATTAACTACAGTGTGTCTGTATGTACTTAACCTAACCCACCACCCATGCCATCGACCCATACCACCACCCACACTGTAACAGGGAAAATAATGTCCGAGTGTTTTATTGACAACTATTTTGGTATCAGTTCATAGACAGAATCAGACCAGCATATGGAGATGATCTATAACTCAGCATTGTTTGTTTATAGTCCACACACACACAAAGACAGACAGGTGCAATAGACAGACAGACTTGGGTACTTACCAATAAAGTCAACAGTGGGAGGCAACATAGGTCGAGGGTCGTCAATAGGGGTGGAAGACGAATCACATTTGTTCCACCATCGACCATAAGTCCTCTGTAATTATGTCAGAACTGTTATAAAATACACACACACACACACACACACACACACACACACACACACAAACACACGGGCCAAACAAGACTGCATTATATTGTTTAATTCGTATTGGTTAAAACATCAGTAATATTAACCCAATCCAACATGACCTGATATTAACCTAACATGACCTAACATTAACCTCACCTAACATGACTTAACACTAACCAAACATTAACCTAACCTAACATGACCTAACACTAACCTAACATGACCTAACATTAACCTAACCTAACATGACATGACCTAACATTAACCTAAAATGACCTGTCATTAATCTAACACTAACATGACCTGACATTATATTAACCTAATATTACTGTATACTCACATAACACTAACCTACTTTCAAAGAGTTAAACCATCGTCCTCAAAAGGTTAAATCATCGTCCTCAAAGGGTTAAACCATCATCCTCAAAGGGTAAACCATCGTCCTCAAAGGGTTAAACCATCGTCCTCAAAGGGTTAAATCATCGTCCTCAAAGGGTTAAACCATCATCCTCAAAGGGTTAAACCATCATCCTCAAAGGGTTAAACCATCGTCCTCAAAGGGTTAAATCATCGTCCTCAAAGGGTTAAACCATCATCCTCAAAGGGTTAAACCATCATCCTCAAAGGGTTAAACCATCGTCCTTAAAGGGTTAAACCATCATCCTCAATGGGTTAAACCATCGTCCTCAAAGGGTTAAACCAAGTAGGTAGTAGGCAGGTACCAAACAGGGAGGTACTGGGAAGATATTGGAAGCATAATGTGTTGTCTAATGGTTGACTGCTGCCATATGTGACCAAGTCCCAGGTTGATGATCTGACTTTCTGCCTCATTTACACACAAGGTCTCAATTGTTTCTCTGGCAGCACAGCACAGCACAGCACAGCACAACACAGCACAGCACAACACAGCACAGCACAACACAACACAGCACAGCACAGCACAACACAGCACAGCACAACACAACACAGCACAGCACAGCACAACACAACACAACACACATATATTGTTTCTCACTCTTGATCTTTTTTTAATTTTTGAATTTCTTTATGATTCTTTATTACTGACAACTGGTGTACACTGATAACTGGTGTACACTGAGACAACTGGTGTACACTGACAACTGGTGTACACTGATAACTGGTGTACACTGACAACTGGTGTACACTGAGACAACTGGTGTACACTGACAACTGGTGTACACTGACAACTGGTGTACACTGACAACTGGTGTACACTGAGACAACTGGTGTACACTGACAACTGGTGTACACTGACAACTGGTGTACACTGACAACTGGTGTACACTGAGACAACTGGTGTACACTGAGACAACTGGTGTACACTGAGACAACTGGTGTACACTGAGACAACTGGTGTACACTGAGACAACTGGTGTACACTGAGACAACTGGTGTACACTGAGACAACTGGTGTACACTGAGACAACTGGTGTACACTGAGACAACTGGTGTACACTGAGACAACTGGTGCTACACTGTCAACACACTGACAACCGGTGTGAGACAACTGGTGTATACGACAACTGGTGTACACTGAGACAACTGGTGTACACTGAGACAACTGTACACTGACAACTGGTGTACACTCGACAACTGGTGTACACTGAGACAGCCTGGTGTACACTGAGACAACTGTGTACACTGAGACAACTGGTGTACACTGAGACAACTGGTGTATACTGAGACAACTGGTGTAATACTGACAACTGGGTGTACACTGGACAACTGGTGTACACTGACAACTGTGTAATACTGAGACAACAACTGGTGTACACTGAGACAACTGGTGTACACTGAGACAACTGGTGTACACTGAGACAACTGGTGTACACTGAGACAACTGGTGTACACTGAGACAACTGGTGTACACTGAGACAACTGGTGTACACTGAGACAACTGGTGTATACTGAGACAACTGGTGTACACTGAGACAACTGGTGTACACTGAGACAACTGGTGTACACTGAGACAACTGGTGTACACTGAGACAACTGGTGTACACTGAGACAACTGGTGTATACTGAGACAACTGGTGTACACTGAGACAACTGGTGTACACTGAGACAACTGGTGTATACTGAGACAACTGGTATTCTGACTAATTGAACCTAACCTAACCTAACACTAACCTAACCAAACACTTACTATAAGAAAATGGTAACCTAACCTAACCCCATAAGGCAAAATCATCACAGGTGTTTAATCAGACAGACAGACAGACAGACAGACAGACAGACAGACAGACAGACAAACAGCCAAACAGACAGACAGACAGACAGACAGAAACTTATTATAAAAACATTAATCCACTAAAACGTCAATTTCTCCACTACAACACGAGGAGGTTTTGCCACGACTAACCAAGCAGTAAGCTGAAGAGAAGTCGCCATATTCCGGGTAAAGAGTTGGTTTGCCGATGATATTGTTCGCCACATAGGATATGGAGCCATCGCTGCCATATTGGGAACTGAAGTCGGTCACTTCCTTGACATATTGGTCGATAACGCACTGCATCTTGTATCTGGGGGTGTGGTGACATCATAAGGTTTAACTTTCAATTCCCAGTATTTTATTTACCACAGGACTTAATACTAACTTTTACTTACTGTATTTTATCATTTTATTGCCAGGTCTGGGAATATAGTTTGATTTATGAACTCGTGACTACATACAGTACGAGTTTGTGGTAATTATATGTTGACAGTTTTATTTTGGGTGTATTTTACTGGGAAGCAATATTTTTTCTCCGAGTATCTTTTCTCATAAGCAACTTACAGTAATGACATCTTTAGTTGGAAATGATAGATTCCCTTTGGTTTTTGTAGTGATTAATGCTCGAGTTTCATTAACATTTGGGGTCAATTGTACACTACAATATGCTTCACACTTCAAAGAATTCTTAAGTTTCACAGGAAAACCGGCTATATAGTTCCTCCCCGACTTATGACGGGGTTAGGGACCCAAATCTAGGTCGTAAGTCGAAAATGCCTAAATAATACATATAAAATCTAAAATGGGTGTCTCTTTTTCTTCTCAGCACCACAAAACTCTCACTTTTAAGCTGGCCAGCCATTTTAAGGTGAATTACAAACAAAAATTTTGTCTGTGTACTGACGTTGGGACTCGAAAATACGTAATTTGACAAAATTTTGATACGACTGAGGCGGGTCGTAAATCCGGGCGGTCGTAAGTCGGGGAGGAGCTTTATATACAACTATTTTCTCAGAACAAGGAGAGACCACACTAGGTGATGCCAAGTTAGTATTTCCCTCTTCTGAGAGCACATCAGACTAATCATTTGAATAATGTTATCTTCCTCATAGACCCTGTATGGTTTTATAAAGAGAAGAGTTAATTAAATTGCTAGATGGAACATTAGCATTACGATCGTTTAGATAGTTACTAGAGGCAGTTAGGACTGGGTTAGATTCTAAAGCCAAGCTATTTCCACGAGTCATTTCTTCAATGTCATTATAAGTTAACACCTTGCAGGCTGCCGAGCCGTGGGATTGCTGTTGCTCTCTCCTATACTTCTAATGTTGCCCCAAAATAGTTCTATATGATCCTGACTCATCTTGTAAGTTAAGAAGTAATATAAAAGTGATTTTGAAGAAACAATTAGCATTTTTAATTAATGGCAGACCTTTCCAACAAACAAGGAATCCAATAAATCCTGTTTTTCTTCTGGGTTGAACAACAGGTAACTTATCAGGCAGTAATGTTAAGGAAACCAGATACTGTTGCCCACTTTCAATGAACTTCATTACTTCTGAATTATTACCTCCTTCCAAGGGACGCTTCCTGCCGTAACTACACAAATTCCCAGAACTCACCAAGTCAAACGGTGCGTTGAGTGGACGTATGGATTTTACTGCTCCTTGGCAACCATGAAATCCGGGTGTCTTCTCATCCAAACAAAACTGGAGGGAGTTAGCAACAGATCACCAAGTAACTGCCCGGCCAATTTTACATTCATTTAACTCTTTACGTATTCAATATGTGAAGCTCTTAACTTGTTTCCCAGGGAAGACCTTCTTTTTCCCGTAACTGGTGGAGACTGACTATGAATCACCACTGCGTCGACAAATTTATCTAGATCGCCAAGAGAATTTCTTAACAACTTGAACATATGACATAGATCAAGAAAAATAAACACTGGCTGCAACCAAGATTTTCCATCATAGCTAAATTAGGAGCTGCACCATCATTAACAGTTAAAAGATACAATATTCACTCCAACTGAATGAAATTTGCTCAAAACTGCAAAACTAAATTACTGCGTTCATTACCACAAAGTCCATTAATAAAAAAATATCCAATTGATAACTTAAAGTAGGTTTGTATGACACTACCATAACAGTAAGACCTTCCTTAGCTACAGGCAAGCAATCATCATCTAGTTGAGTTCCCATGACGACAGACCCCCGATAGATTTAGCCATCCCATATAACATGTTGACTAATAGCCATGTCATCCATCGCCAAAGAAAAAATATTACCACAAGTTTCGTCTGTGGATTTCTTGACCTTCTCCTTGACTGCACTGAATGATGCCTCGGTAAATCTTGGTTTAACTTCTACTTATACCATTTTTCCAGCATTCGTAGATGATGCGGCAGACATGTAGTATCAAAAGTTCTTCTTATGAACCAATATGATTGTGGACAGTAAAATATCAAAGTGAGAGCTTAAATTTCTCAAAGCCAGGAGGATACTGAGCATGGACTGACATACTGCTACTTTTAACACTGTCTTATCAGTCACTCCACCAGCACAGGATTCTACAATAGTCAGACTGTCTTAACTTACTAAATTTTTCTTTAAATAAACTAATCACACAAGTAGTCATTTTCCGATGGAGAATTGAGCTCCTAGGTGATTATCTAAAACCAAACTCTATTCCCAGCTGGCAATACACATAGTAAGTGATTCTCTAAGCAATTATCTTGTATTGGTAATAAAAACAGCACGAAATATAGCTCTCAAAGGCTGTTAATAGGAGAACTAGCATGAATAAATTAATAGCTCTCAAAGGCTGTTAATAGGAGAACTAGCATGAATAAATTAATAGCTCTCAAAGGCTTAATAGGAGAACTAGCGAATAGAACCAGCCAATATATAAAGGCTGTTAATAGGAGAACTAACATGAATAATAAAATTAATAGCTCTCAAAGGCTGTTAATAGGAGAACTAACATGAATAAATTAATAGCTCCTCAAAGGCTGTTAATAGGAGGCAGCATGAATAAATTAATAGCTCTCAAAGGCTGTTAATAGGAGAACTAGCATGAATAAATTAATAGCTCTCAAAGGCTGTTAATAGGAGAACTAGCATGAATAAATTAATGTGGTTTAGTGAAAGCTATTGAGGAGTCTGGCTGGTAATGGACCCCAGTGCTCAGGGTTCGTGATATGATGAGGGTAATTAGTGTTGTTAATTAAGATGTATAGTAGTTTTACTCATCATGTGGCCAGCCTAGACAAAGGTGGCCACGATGGGGGAGAGGTGGCCTAAGGGAGCGTGTGGCCTCCACCCTATATACTTCAATGTATATACCCAAGAGTGGCCATATACCCAAGAGTGGCCATATACTCAACAGTGGCCACATATACCCACACAACAGAGGCCACACACCCAACAGTGGCCACATATACCCACCCAACAGAGGCCACACACCCAACAGTGGCCACATATACCCACACAACAGAGGCCACACACCCAACAGTGGCCACATATACCCACACAACAGAGGCCACACACCCAACAGTGGCCACATATACCCACACAACAGAGGCCACACACCCAACAGTGGCCACATATACCCACCCAACAGAGGCCACACACCCAACAGTGGCCACATATACCCACACAACAGAGGCCACACACCCAACAGTGGCCACATATACCCACACAACAGAGGCCACACACCCAACAGTGGCCACATATACACCCAACCGTGGCCACACACCCAACAGTGGCCATAACACTAAACAACTCACCATAAGTCATATATTATCCTCTGGCTGTGGTGCAGGAGGTCTGGCTGTGGTGCAGGAGGTGTGGCGGTGGTGCAGGAGGTGGTGGAGGAGGTGTGGCGGTGGTGCAGGAGGTGTGGCTGTGGTGGAGATGGTGTGGTGCAGGAGGTGGTGCAGGAGGTGTGGCTGTGGTGATAATACTGAAGGAGAAAGACTTGGTGAGGTCCATTACTCAGAGGATGATGTTATGTTGGGTTAGTTACCACGAACACCACCGTCTGCCTAAACTATTTGTGAGATAATCCATGTTGATCTTTACGGGTAAAAAGTCATATAAAAGAATTAAATCAAATTTCACGTAATGTAAAAAATTACCATAAGTTTCTGATGATGTTAAATTTGTTATAATTCTTTCGTTAATAAAAAATATATAACAAAATCTATATTATCGTCGTTTAGTCGAGGAAATATTTTAACATTTACTCTATATCACTGAAGCCATTCTCTTGTTTACAACTTCCTTTATTTCACATCGCTGCCGAGATATCTTCGTTAATTGTTTTGTTAATTATATTATATGAAATGTATTTATAGATGTTAGGTAATATATTATCGTATATAATTTAATGATAAGTATATAATTATTGATGCTTTACAATACTTAATTAAATTTGTCTTCGTTTTGACTCCATGTTGTCTTCATTAATTACAATTATTTATTTTGCAATATTAATATTAATTACAGTAATAATATATTTTAACATTTACATATAATTAATTCACCTTTTAAAATTAGATATAATAATATAGTCATCAAGACATCACAGAGGAGTTAGATATCTTCACTTGTATTATAATGGAAGAGTTTGTTTACGTGGTGAGGTGCGTCTCAGCTGACCATCAAAGGCGTCAATGTTAAAATATATCCCCAACACCATATAATAATACCGATTTACTTAAAATAATTAATAAATTAACCTTAAATAACACTAAAAAATTAACAAGAATATCAATCAACTATTTTACTTAATTTAACATTAATTAAATAGATTTTTAACGCTTTAAATACAAAGTTAACCAGACATAACGTTCGTGGTAATTACATAAACATTACCCAGGAGAGGAAAGCAGCACCGAACATCATATATTAAGGTGAGTTATTTCACCCAAACATCATGTCTAATACTCTACCACATCATGTCATCCAGTTAATGAGGTCATAATACTCTACCACATCATGTCATCCAGTTAATGAGGTCATAATACTCTACCACATCATGTCATCCAGTTAATGAGGTCATAATACTCTACCACATCATGTCATCCAGTTAATGAGGTCATAATACTCTTCCACATCATGTCATCCAGTTAATGAGGTCATAATACTCTACCACATCATGTCATCCAGTTAATGAGGTCATAATACTCTACCACATCATGTCATCCAGTTAATGAGGTCATAATACTCTACCACATCATGTCATCCAGTTAATGAGGTCATAATACTCTACCACATCATGTCATCCAGTTAATGAGGTCATAATACTCTACCACATCATATCATCCAGTTAATAGGTCATAATACTCTTCCACATCATGTCATCCAGTTAATGAGGTCAAATCTCTACCACATCATGTCATCCAGTTAATGAGGTCATAATACTCTACCACATCATGTCATCCAGTTAATGAGGTCATAATACTACACATCATGTCATCCAGTTAATGAGGTCATAATACTCTACCATCATGTCATCCAGTTAATGAGGTTAATACTCTACCACATCATGTCATCCAGTTAATGAGGTCATAATACTCTACCACATCATGTCATCCAGTTAATGAGGTCATAATACTCTACCACATCATGTCATCCAGTTAATGAGGTCATAATACTCTACCACATCATGTCATCCAGTTAATGAGGTCATAATACTCTACCACATCATGTCATCCAGTTAATGAGGTCATAATACTCTACCACATCATGTCATCCAGTTAATGAGGTCATAATACTCTACCACATCATGTCATCCAGTTAATGAGGTCATAATACTCTACCACATCATGTCATCCAGTTAATGAGGTCATAATACTCTACCACATCATGTCATCCAGTTAATGATGAGGTCATAATACTCTACCACATCATGTCATCCAGTTAATGAGGTCATAATACTCTACCACATCATGTCATCCAGTTAATGAGGTCATGATACTCTACCACATCATGTCATCCAGCCGAGGTCATAATACTCTACCACATCATGTCATCCAGTTAATGAGGTCATAATACTCTACCACATCATGTCATCCAGTTAATGAGGTCATAATACTCTACCACATCATGTCATCCAGTTAATGAGGTCATAATACTCTACCACATCATGTCATCCAGTTAATGAGGTCATAATACTCTACCACATCATGTCATCCAGTTAATGAGGTCATAATACTCTACCACATCATGTCATCCAGTTAATGAGGTCATAATACTCTACCACATCATGTCATCCAGTTAATGAGGTCATAATGGATAAAATAAAATATTAACATGACTTATAAGACTGAGGGAAGTGTCGCCAGTATTATAGGTCATGTGGCCACAGATTACCACCATTATTTGACACGTTAATTGTATGTTATTAAATGATGTGTAGAACCTAACCTAACCCAACCCCTTTGAGTATGATGATTTAACCCCTTGAGTATGATGATTTAACCCCTTGAGTATGATGACTTAACCCCTTGAGTATGATGATTTAACCCCTTGAGTATGATGACTTAACCCCTTGAGTATGATGATTTAACCCCTTGACTACGATGATTTAACCCCTTGAGTATGATGATTTAACCCCTTGACTATGACGACTTAACCCCTTGAGTATGATGATTTAACCCCTTGAGTATGATGATTTAACCCCTTGACTATGACGATTTAACCCCTTGAGTATGATGACTTAACCCCTTGAGTATGATGATTTAACCCCTTGAGTATGACGATTTAACCCCTTGACTATGACGATTTAACCCCTTGACTATGATGATTTAACCCCTTGAGTATGATGATTTAACCCCTTGAGTATGATGATTTAACCCCTTGACTATGATGATTTAAACCCTTGAGTATGATGATTTAACCCCTTGAGTATGATGATTTAACCCCTTGAGTGTGATGATTTAACCCCTTGAGCAGCCTTCCAAACATGCTGGACAGAGAGGCAAAGAAACTATTAACGTTGACGTGAAATTAGATACAACTCTCACTAAACAGTCTCGTGCAGTGATTGTCGAAGACTTTTTGAAATTTATTCTTTATCAGCGAAATCAAATTCCTGTTCAGTTTGGCGCATTAGTGCGAGAAGTAGCCAAGACAGAGGACACCACCAGCCACCACGGTGAAGCACCTACACAACAGGAACACACTGCCAACAAGGTATGTTAAAGTTATGCTGCTAACAGAGGGTACCACCAGCCACCACGGTGAAGCACCTACACAACAGGAACACACTGCCAACAAGGTATGTTAAAGTTATGCTGCTAACAGAGGACACCACCAGCCACCACGGTGAAGCACCTACACAACAGGAACACACTGCCAACAAGGTATGTTAAAGTTATGCTGCTAACAGAGGGTACCACCAGCCACCACGGTGAAGCACCTACACAACAGGAACACACTGCCAACAAGGTATGTTAAAGTTATGCTGCTAACAGAGGGTACCACCAGCCACCACGGTGAAGCACCTACACAACAGGAACACACTGCCAACAAGGTATGTTAAAGTTATGCTGCTAACAGAGGACACCACCAGCCACCACGGTGAAGCACCTACACAACAGGAACACACTGCCAACAAGGTATGTTAAAGTTATGCTGCTAACAGAGGGTACCACCAGCCACCACGGTGAAGCACCTACACAACAGGAACACACTGCCAACAAGGTATGTTAAAGTTATGCTGCTAACAGAGGGTACCACCAGCCACCACGGTGAAGCACCTACACAACAGGAACACACTGCCAACAAGGTATGTTAAAGTTATGCTGCTAACAGAGGACACCACCAGCCACCACGGTGAAGCACCTACACAACAGGAACACACTGCCAACAAGGTATGTTAAAGTTATGCTGCTAACAGAGGACACCACCAGCCACCACGGTGAAGCACCTACACAACAGGAACACACTGCCAACAAGGTATGTTAAAGTTATGCTGCTAACAGAGGGTACCACCAGCCACCACGGTGAAGCACCTACACAACAGGAACACACTGCCAACAAGGTATGTTAAAGTTATGCTGCTAACAGAGGACACCACCAGCCACCACGGTGAAGCACCTACACAACAGGAACACACTGCCAACAAGGTATGTTAAAGTTATGCTGCTAACAGAGGACACCACCAGCCACCACGGTGAAGCACCTACACAACAGGAACACACTGCCAACAAGGTATGTTAAAGTTATGCTGCTAACAGAGGACACCACCAGCCACCACGGTGAAGCACCTACACAACAGGAACACACTGCCAACAAGGTATGTTAAAGTTATGCTGCTAACAGAGGGTACCACCAGCCACCACGGTCCACACCTACACAACAGGAACACACTGCCAACAAGGTATGTTAAAGTTATGCTGCTAACAGAGGGTACCACCAGCCACCATTTTATGGAAATTACTTCGTTCGGTAGATAATTAGGCGGTAGCGGGTCAGTCGTCAAAATTAACCATCCTAAAATTCAATACATGACTGAAATAAAAATAATACCTTAGAAGAAACCACTATTTAACACATTTTCCATAACTATGACAGTGTCCATTATAAAACAGATTGGGTTGGGTTAGGCTAGGCTAGGCTAGGCTAAAAAAAATTGCGCAAACTACTACACTCATCCATAAAACACAGTTAAATTGCTGCGTTTTTATAATTGTTTATTATTCTAAATCACCGGCAAGTCAGTCATCAATAATTACCAGTCAGTGAAATTACGACATTGGTAATAATTGACAACTGTCCTGCCAGTGATTTAACATAATAAATTATTTTAAAAATGCAGGAATTTCAGTTTTATAGATAAGTGTACCAGTAATAGTTTGTGCAATTTTTTTTTTAGACTAGCCTAACCTAATCTAACCCAATCCAACCTTAACCTAACCTAACCTTAACCTAACCTTGTCCTTCTCCTTATCCTTAACCTAACCTAACATTAACATAAAACTGTTTTATAGAGGCCACTTGTAGTTTGTGCAAATGTCTTTTTAAACCTACCCTAACCCCTTAAACATAAAACTGCTGCATTACTGCCAAGAAAATAAAGTAGTGTACACCTTAGGTGTTTAATACTGTATATGCCAAATTAAGCATTTACACAAGAAATGATTATCATATCAGTACTCATTGATAAAAATAGAAAAGGAAAATAAACACCAGACCACAACATTTTTAAATTCGCTTTCTCTGAAAAATCTGCGGCAATGTACTTGTAGTGCACGCCTAGTCTTTTAAATTTTGCAATCAGTAGTTTAGACAATTCCAAGACACTTTTCTTCAAAAGCATTTCTGTTGGAAATTTATATTTTTCAAGTATTTTAACCGATAAAATTCCCAATGGTATTACTTGTTCAAAGTGGGCAGGGCTTTGAAGTACTTTAGAGGGAAAATGTGGGGTAAAATACTAAAGTAACACCAAACCTTTGAAAACCTTACCTCATGTTTCCAAACTTTTAAAATGCTAATATTCAGTTTCTAGTTTATTGATTCCTCCTCATCTAAACACCTAAAACAACAACACATTAAGTACTGAAAACAACACCATCACCTACTAAACACCAAAAACATGAATAAGGAAAACTTTATAATTTTAGTTTTAGGATATGTAAGAAAGTGGTGCTAGTGCTTCCAAGCTTAAGCACAAGTCACTATCTATCCAGGAAAAGGGTGAATTTCCATGGTCCGGCACCGGTCAGGTCCCGAGGTTGCCGGACTAGAGAGGTACAACCTGTACTCCGAATTAGGTTATGTAAGGTTATATTATGTCAGGATAGTTTTGGTTAGTTACTCGGTAATACATTAATTAAGTTAGGTTAGATCTGGTTTATTAAACTAAACCTTTCCTCCAAGAATGTGAAATTCCTGACAAAGAAGACAGTGCTTACACCTCAAGGGAAATTGTGGGTGAAACACACTTCTAACCATTATAATCTTAATCTTTGCCTCTATATTTCTTCAACTAATGGTAAGCTTTTGCACTTAAAATCTTTAATCTCCTGTGAAGCTCACCAGTTCTTCATATTTTCCCAAATAATTTTCACTTGACTGTTTTGCTTGGCCCCAATTTTGCAGCAGTCAAGGCATGGGTGATGTCCTGTAATGCTCTTGCTTTCACTGGGATTATCCTGCCCTCCATCACTTTGTTGAAAATTATCCCTTTTCTCACCTTGACACGTTCAAGGAGACAGTGACTCGCATCTTGAGTAAAATAAGGTGAACAGGACATCCTTGCCTGATCTCAGCAGTCAGCTGTGGCCGTAAACAAACTGCTGGCATTTGGATGTGTTGGGTGACTTTCATAGTCAATTTTATTTTCTGCATTCTTTTAAATTGCCTAACTTATTTTTTGTTAATGTGCAAAGGAATAACATATAAATAACTGGTATAATTAATTATCAAAACAGCAATATACAGTAGAAACTTTCAGGAGGCTGATTACAAGTTCAATTTTGCCAGTTTGAAGACAGTCACTGAGGCAGGGGCACCAACACCAGCCTAAACAGTGACCCACATAGTCACCAGTTGGGAGTTGAGAGGTTGAGATCTAGCATTTTATAATAGCGTAGACACTGAATCTTTCTCCTTAGGGTAAGATTAAGCGGCCTCAAGTGAAGGACCCTCACCTTTTTATTTTATGGCAGTTAGTCTACAATAAGCTTTGATTTTCCAGGTTTACAGCAGAAAAGAAGAAATTGCTAGATGTACACTGCGTAGCAAGAGACAACGGTGGCTGACTAAGGTCAATAATTGTTTGGAAGATTTCAATATCATAATGCAGGTAAATATTTTCGTCTGTAAAATTTTTCTCCACCTTAATAGTTTAACAGAAATCACCTTTCTGTATCTGATTTTTCAACCACATTTTGGTGATTTTCTACCAATTTAATATTTGAGAAATAAAGAGCAGAAGATGACTGCAAAACAAGACATTCACTTTTACAACGTGTTTTTCAGACGCTGCGCACCGAGTTGAATGATGGTCATGTAATGGCAGTCAATGTCATTTTGGGGAGCTCCATAATATCTGGCCAGGAAGTTTTCTCCATCATTTTCCCCCGTGACTGCTCTTCAGCACCTGCCGAGTGTGAAGTTTCAAATGGTCGACAAACTGTAATGCAGTTCTTTCGGTAAGAATATATTAGTGTTGTAAATTTTATACATCATTTAGCTTTAGGTCTCATCATCATGTATTGATAATGGAGGTATGACTGTAAAATGCATTACTATAACAATGAACTTGTTCAGAATTTTCTCCATACAGTCAATACACCACCTTAATAAAATACAGTACTGTAAATGTATAAACATGAAACTACCATTTAATTTAATTTCCATGGAAAACTTCCTTGTGTCACAGAAAATTTTGAGGAAAAACCTGATATTACACTGTACAGTAGTACCCCGCTTAACGCGGTCAATTGAACCCACAGGGTACCGCGTTAAGTGAAAACCGCGTTAAGTGAACAACAGAACATATGGGATTAATTCCAATAGAGACTGGCCCGACCCCCAAACTCCACTTTTTGACGACACACAACTATGTTGTAGTAAAAATTTTATCTTAACTTTATGATGGTATGCACACACAATTAATAATTAAGAGAAATATCAATAATATTAGGTTTTTTAACACTTGCATTAGTAGAAAAGATGGCTGGGCACACGGGGATGGGGGGTTGGTTCCGAGGCAGAGGGCAGATTATTGGCCCTCACCTGTATCACTTGTATCAATTGTATCACTATCCACCACAGAGGCTTGCAGGGCCTCTTTGTCAAACCCCTCAAAGGCCATATAAGTCCATATCCTCACTATAATTATCACTATCACTGACTTGGGCCGGCTGTGGTGGGTGGCGGGTGAAGAACTCGGTAATGTTTTGATGACTGGGCGACCTTGTGCGCATCGTGCCCGCGCCGCTTCCCGCGTATATGATGAAAAATTCCGCGTTAAGTGAAAGTTCAGCTCTGGCGAGGCACCGCGTATATGATAAAACGCGTTAAGTGAAACCGCGTTAGGCGGGGTAATACTGTACAGTATTTGTGAGTCGGTGCCTGGGAAAAACCAGCACCTGATGATAATGGACGAGTTGACGTTAGGAATTTTTTCGTAAGATTGCAGGTCAGTGGATAAATAAAATGCTTAAATTCACTATGGTAATGATATTTTAAAATAAATTGGGCCAAAAGGTTCCAAAATAAGAGTTAAAGTTGATTAAAAGTCACATGACTGCAAAAAGCTCTGTGATTGGTTGTGACGTCACTGGTTGGTGCGAGCTTCCCAGCAGGAGGCAGCCAGCTGTAGTTGTCCAACCTTCTCGGCTGGTCGGCTCTGTAAATAAATATTATTAGATAATTAATTGTGCTTTACTGTACAACACAGTAATGCTATATTGAATATATAAATATTAATAAGCACATAAACTAATTCAATGGATATTAGCTGCCCATACTACAAATTTCATAGTATAAACATCCCAAAGAATATTGGTATTATTTTGGTCATCTGGGGAACCTTAAGATTGTAACTATAGGCTTAAGTACTTTAGACAACGAGACAAATTATCTCTACAGGATTCTGTCGCAAAGCATTTTTCGATCGCATAAGAAAATGCAGATCATGTTAGGTTAAGTTAGGTTAGGGTATGATGAGTTATAAGGTTAGTTTAACATACATCGGTAAGGGCGGGTAGTAACACAAAACTAGTGATTTTCAATAGAAATGAAGGTCTAAATCATTCATAACACATCGCAAACCATAAGAAAAAAAACATAAGTCTACATGTCTAAGTACAGGGATGACCAAAATTTAAAATTTACCCAATACTGTACAGTGTATAACTTATCTCGAATCTAAACAGCAAAATACTTATGGTAGTTTATAGTAAAATTTTACCTATTAATTAATATAAATGATGATATATCCCAGTGGTTCATCAGCGAATCATCAAAACAATAACAGCACTATATTGTCATGTGAACTAACACCAGGCACTCTCAAAACAAAGTCCAGACAATGTCATTATACTTCTAAATTTACTCGTATCTCCATCTAGTACTGATATGCTGTATATACCCTGTGTAGTTCGAGTTTTTAAGATCAAATTTTTTGGCAAAAAATTGGGGGTCGACCTTTAAACGGGTAATAGTTTCGTTAGGTTGAAAAATATTTACCAGTAAACAATGGAAACGACGCACCACCAGTTGCCAGGGCAGATCCCTTGCATGCTAAAATTAAAGGCTGCTTAAGAAGGGCCGATGCAAAAACAAAGCCTCCACGACCAGGGCTCTGCCGTATCAGCTTGACGGTACACGTGTTTTTCGAATCGTTTTCAGTTAAAAAAACTGTTACATCACAAGTGAATTAGGATAGAATATTATTGTAATACAACAGTTTTCTAACTGAAAACCATTCGAAAAGCGATTACTGTAGCATCTTTTGAACGAAAGAAAGCGAAAGTCATCGTTTTCGTCACGATTTTATCCCACTTTCCAATGTAATACGTACGTCATTTCAGCAAAAATATTACATTTCCATATTCTCAGAAACAAATAGTAGTTTTGCTGAAACGTGATGTATTTCAATGTAAATTAGGATAAACTACATGATGAAAACAAAAGACTTTACCTAAACTTCCGATGTTCAAGATATGTTACTCGTTGTTTTAATAGTTTTCGGTTAAAATACTGTTATGTTAGTGGTATTCTATTCATACTGTGCTTGATATAATATATTCATGGAAATGTAATATTTTTGCTGAAATGACGTACGTATTACAGTGGAAAGTGGGATAAAATCGTGACGAAAACAATGACTTTCGCCTTCTTTTGCTTTTTGAATGGTTTTCAGTTAAAAAACTGTTGTATTACAATAATATTCCCTCCTAATTGACTTGAATAAATACTTGAATGGAAATATACAATATTTTTGTTGAAACTACCCGTGTTTCAGTGTAAAGTGTCGTAATAATAAATGGTAAACAATTTGCCTTCGGCACTCGGTGTTTCAGGCATGGCAAGCCTCAGTTTATAGGACGTAGAGTGTTTTTACTGCAGGTTTTGTTGTTCCATTACCCTCAAAAACTTGGGTCGACCTATAAACAAGGAATATCACAAATTAACGATTTCTTGGTTAAAAAATCAGGGTCAACCTATAAACGAGGGAGGGTTATAGACGAGTATATACGGTACTCTGTAAGTGCACTGAAAAAAAAGAGAAAGTCTACCAGGTAAGAATACATTACAGCTGAGCTGGTGTGAACATAAGAGGTTTTTTTATGTCATAAGTTGCTCTTCACAGCATATTTCTTAAGTTACGAAATGTCCATGACTTAGACCATAAAAAAAACACCATTAAAACTTACCTGAATGTGGCATTTGGGGTCTGAATAGGTCATCCTTTCTACTACCTGTGACTGCAGCGATGAGTTTGAAACTAGTGATGTCATTGCAAATGGCAGCCCTGTTTCTAGAGACATAAACTTATCTTGACTATTATAGCAGGACTTTAAACTTTGATTACAAATTTTATTTACCGTATCACTCTACGTACGTGGCAGAGTGTATTTCTTGTGTTTACCAAGAACCATCAACTCGTCCATTTACCCCCCTGGTGTTTCTTGCTGGGACGTACTCTAACTTTACAGTCTTCTAAGTGACTGAAATCCTCACTTTCTATGCTATCCTCCAACAAAGAATCACTTAAGATTTTCATGGTTGGGATATATTATTCACTACTCAGATTGCCTCTAATATCCTGTGATTCTGCCATTTTTACCTCAAAATATTGAGACTTCACACAAAATACCCTAATACATCTGAGGACAATGGAACATTTCAGTGGAACAATGGCAGAACCCACAGGAGGCCATGATGTCATTGGCTGGGCCTAGAGCGGGCAGAGCTAATATTGCTACCAAATCTTATATGAGACACTGTGTAAATGCTGAAAAAGATACAGTAAACCTTGCTCTTCTCCTTTAATGTCCTGGTTAATTCTGATGTACCACAAACATTACTGCCGGCCACTCTGGGTCTCCTACGATGGACCGACTAAGTTACTGTGGTAAGAGGTTAAGTTTTGAAAACCACAGGTAGTACAGTAGTCTGATCCCATTGTTGATCCTCTCATTCTGTATCTTTCACATAGTATATTAATATCTTGCTTAGCACTCCAGATGTGATCCTAAGAAGAGAGCACTAAAGAAGGTCATTATACCATTATAAATTGATATGTGTTCCTAAAGTTGTTATACTTACCTTGGGGTGACATAAGAATGCTTCAATTGGGTACTGGTAAATACAGTTACACTATAGTACTGTACAGGTTTTGAGTACTCGGTTAACGAACACAATTCGTTCCAGAAGGTCGTTCGTTAACCAAAAATTTCGTTAATCGAAACCATTGTTTCGATGGGATATTGGGTAATTGGTTCCAGCTCACAGAAAAGTATACTATACAAAGTAAAGCCAAAAATGCATAAAGTCAGAAACACTCATAAAATTCCCTTAAATCGCCCTTAAATCACTATACTGTATATATCGTACATATACACTAGAACTCTTAAATCACTACTGTAATGTGATGCAGGTGATTAATTTTATCTCTTGTGCAAAATATATGACGTTTATATTCAAATTATTCCCTGTCTTGCAAGGATTTCAGCAATGCAAATTATATTATCCTAACTTAAGTCTGAGGTATTATTTATTTTTCAACCTGTAAACCTAGTCCTTTTCCCCAAATGTTTCTCAGGAAGGTGGGGGGGAGGGAGGGAGGGGTGACAGTGACATGTTTGACAGTTGGCACCTGTGGTGTGAAATATTTAATTGTTAATTTATGTCCTTTAGATTGAGTTTTTGTTTTTTGCTTATCAAATTTAATAGAAGTGACCGGGGTGAATTTAATTTGCATTGCTGGAATTCTTATAAGATAGTGATTAATTTGAATGTAAACATAGAAGAGATCACTGAATTGGCTGAGTACCTCCTCAGCTTATCAGCTGATGTTCAAAACAAAATCTGATTTTTTGTAAGGATTTCGTTAACCGAATTGAAGATTCTTATGGAAGGTAATTCGTTAACCAAAATTTCGTTAACCGAGGCGTTCGTTAACCGAGGGACCACTGTACTATATTTATCTAAATAAATGAACGCATTTATATCTTGCAATGATGGCATCAACCCTTGGAATGTGAGGCAGTGGATGGGTGAGGTAAAAGTTATCACATGGCTCTGTTCTGGGTGAGGTAGGTTAGGGGTAAAGGATGTCACATGTCTGTTCTGGGTGAGGTAGGTTAGGGGTAAAGGATGTCACATGTCTGTTCTGGGTGAGGTAGGTTAGGGGTAAAGGATGTCACATGTCTGTTCTGGGTGAGGTAGGTTAGGGGTAAAGGATGTCACATGGCTCTGTTCTGGGTGAGGTAGGTTAGGGTAAAGGATGTCACAGAGTAGGTTAGGGGTAAGGATGTCACATGTCTGTTCTGGGTGAGATGTATGTCTGTTCTGGGTGGAGTTTAAAGGATGTCACATGTCTGTTCTGGGTGAGGTAGGTTAGGGGTAAAGGATGTCACATGGCTCTGTTCTGGGTGAGGTAGGTTAGGAGGGTCACATGGCTGTTCTGGTGGGGGTTGGTAAGGATGTCACATGTCTGTTCTGGGTGAGGTAGGTTAGGGGTAAAGGATGTCACATGTCTGTTCTGGGTGAGGTAGGTTAGGGGTAAAGGATGTCACATGTCTGTTCTGGGTGAGGTAGGTTTGGGGTAAAGGATGTCACATGTCTGTTCTGTGTGAGGTAAGTTAGGGGTAAAGGATGTCACATGGCTCTGTTCTGGGTGAGGTAGGTTAGGGGTAAAGGATGTCACATGGCTCTGTTCTGGGTGAGGTAGGTTTGGGGTAAAGGATGTCACATGTCTGTTCTGGGTAAGGTAGGTTAGGGGTAAAGGATGTCACATGGCTCTGTTCTGGGTGAGGTAGGTTAGGGGTAAAGGATGTCACATGGCTCTGTTCTTGATGAGGTGAATCCATCTCTTCATCAGTTTTTAACAAATTCTGTATCTATCAATTAATATCCTTATTCATATTTATTTCAGAGTTCTAGTAACAAACGATGACTTGCTGAAGCTTGTGAGTAAATCCTTTAATGTTCAGAAGGTGTGGATTTTGTTACAGAAGATGCACTCTCCTGCCACATCTGACCAGACAGAATTTTCTGCACCAGATATAACCCCTTGTGATCTTATACCTCAACCTGGATATTCTCCAAATTTTCGTGCCCAAGTTGTCCAAATTAATGTCCGTCATCTTCGCCCGCCTCCCTCAATTTTAATGGACTTTACTCCCACTGTGGGTGCTGGTATTGTTCATTGTAGCAATATTGCAGAAAAAAGATCTTTAGGTTTTCATCCACCCAGTGTGTCAAAATGTCACTCTTTTTCAAGTGAAACCAACAACCACAGCAGTTCACTCAACACAAATGATTTTTCCCCCTTAGCTGAAGAAAAAGAAATGAGTTCATCTACTCTTAAAAAAACATTTTCTCTGAAGGCATCCAGTAAAGGGAAAACAAATAATTTTAATCAAAGCCATTATCTAAATAACCAGAGAACTTCTTGTGTAAGACCCACCTTAGAAAGTCCTATAAATGCTTCTAAGAGGATAGAACCAATTGTGGAAACTCCAACAGTCTCTTCTTATGTCTGTGAAAATCAGTTCACCCCAAGTAAATTCTTGACAACACAACTGGGGAAATTCACTCACTCTGAAAGTTGTTTGGAAGATGCTGGGTGTGGTGGTGATAATGTGGCGTGGTATCAGATAGATCATGTAATTTGTGGATTCAAAGATTTTTATTATAAATAGTCTCAGTTTTTATGACACAATAACATAAAGCAAATCTACAAAAATTCCCATTTTGTCTCCTAAATATATTTCTCATATGAGTTACTTGTATTTACTGTACTTGTACTGTATGTAGTAGGTAGTAAGTACTATGAAAGTCTCTGGCTGAATCATTTTAGGAAAGACTTCAAGTGTGTTTGGAATTCAGATATATATTTTAATTTCTAGTACTGTCTAAATCCTATACCTTTCGGCATGGATATGGTCTCTGAATGTATTATAGTATAACTCAGGAAATGCGAGATATATAAAATTATCTGAAAATCTCAGCATAACTGTTACCTGCATCACCTACCATGCCTCTGTGTCACCTACCATGCCTGTGTCACCTACTATGATGCTTGTTTTTTGCTTGCAGTACAGTAAAGCCTTGAATAACAACGGTGATGTTTCCTCCAATATTTTGGTGTAAGGTGAATCATCGTATCGTCAATCATAGCACAAACTATATTCTTTAAATAATGCTTCTGAATGCATCTTATACAATATAAATGAATAATAATATAGTTTACAAGAGGAGATGGGACACATTGTTTTTCTTTAGTGTTTAAACCCGGGGAGTCCAGGACTATAGTTCTTCGATAAGAAAATTGTAAGACCCTGGATGTAGCTGCGAAAATTAATGTAAAAAATTAATATATATGTTTTAAGTAATGTTATTTAATGCCAATAATGGAACAATAAAGTAGCTAACCACTAATGGCCCTCCAAAAAAAATTCACGAGATGGATTGGGATGTCAACATGCGTCTGCATTCATTAAGTATACACGTGTCATTTATCTTTTTATGAATATGTACAAATATTGATTTATATTTATTACTGAATATGTATTTGATTGAATTAATCTTTATATATATTCTGAGTTGGGGATTTGAATATAGTTAAAAATCTACCCAGATCCCAACAGGCAACAACAATAAAAACTTAAACATAAAGACAATCGGACTATAAAGGGTAGACAAAGGATGCAAGTTTTTGTTGTGTATAATAAAGTACCATAAATTCATAACAAAATATTCAGCTTCTATAATTTACCCTTAACCATACTTAACCTAAACATTAACAGTATATACATATTTATACAACATACAACAATTTTGAAGCAAGTGGAGGTGGGAGGCAATACAAGATTACAAATACTTAAGTGAGGCTGAGATGGCTGTGAGCAAGGCTGAGTATTGAAGAAGGCGGTAGGTGGTCACTGTGCCGTGGGTTTCAGGATAGGTGATCCTGTGGTCACTTCCCAGTGAACTGCTCTCTCCTCGAATTGGAGCTGACAAAGAAGACTTTGAGGAGGTGGCCGCCAACCAGGATATGGAGAAGAGAACCGGGGGTTGGTAACTAAGGCGAGTCATACTCGGTGTTTCGTCCCTAGATGGCGTTGCTCGTGGTGCTGGGTAGGTAGATCAAGACAATAGATGGCGTGGTTCGTAGTGCTGGGTAGTGATCATGACAATTGGTGGGGGGTTCGTAACAATATATATATATATATATATATATATATATATATATACATATATATATATATATATATATATATATATATATATATATATATATATATATATATATATATATATAAATAAATCACTGTAGTCTGCGTGATCTAGGTATATGCTGATAACCACAAGGAAAAGAAAAACACGAAGTTCCCAAGCTTTTCTTAATTCACATCTTCAGGGGTGAGTACAGACTAGAGAGGTAATACAATCAAAGGTGTATATATACAGAGGAGGGTGAGACCAGGTCACAATGGTCAGGTATTAGGTAATGACCTTACTAATCTTTAAATAGCACACAACGGTTGGTGGTCAGGTCAGATGGTCAGTGACCCGGCCTTCTCACCTGATCACAAATCTTCTTAATTACAAAATTGTCCAGCTTGTACATGCCGTTACTCAAATTCATGTTGGATGCTTCGGTATGTTTAATAAGACTAGATTCTATGATGTTCCTACTATCAATTGAATTACATGGTAATAAGGAGGCATTATCCCAGTCAATGCAATGCTTGTTATCCCTCAAATGAACAAACAGAGCATTGGATTCCTGGCCTGTCCTAACACTGTATTTGTGTTGTTTAATTCTAGTTGCAAGATCTTTACCTGTCTGGCCTAAGTAAAACATATTACATTCCTTGCAGGAACTTTATAAATGCAACCAATTGTGTTGTTGGGGAGTTCTTGATTAACATTTGTTTTAACAGTGCATGAGTTTTAAATGCCACATTGACGTTCAGGTTTTTAGCTGTGAGATGTGTAGAAATTTTTGTGAAATGGTAATATTAAGATATTCTTATGGTCATGGGTGGGCTTGGGGTCAGTTCTATAAAAGTTTTCTTAGTAATGTTTAAGCATTTGTCTATGAAGATCTAGGGTATTTAGGTTTGAGCCAATATTATATATATTTGTATTCCTCATCGATGAATTCGGACTGCAAATTCTCAAGGCACGTAAAAACATTGTTGAAAATACTGACTGTTTGACTTTATTATGGTGGGCAGAATAATAATTGAATGTATGAACACACATTAGTTGGTTTTCTATAAATACTGAACTTAAAAGTGTTAACTATTCTGTATCAGACAGTCTAGGAATGGCAATTTACAGTCTTGCTCTAATTCCAGATGAATTTGATCGAGGGTCTTGTTAAGTTGTGGTAGGAAAAGCTTTTAGGTCCTCATTACATGGCCAGAGACATAATACATCATCAACATATCTAAACCAGACTGCTGAGGGTGGTAAAATATTACTTAATAGTTTCTTTTCAAAAGAATTCCATATATAGGTTGTAATACAGGTGAGAGTGGATTACCCATTGCTCTAAGGTCTTGCTTAGCAGATAACCACACCCCTCCTGCAGGATTCTTGAGTTAGGTTCGTAAATGAGTCATATCCAGCAATACTGAACTCACATTCCTCTGGGTCGATTCTCCTGTTCTTGTACAACAGTTCTACAACTCCTACAATATCTGGTTGGTGTACTCTTAGTAGTGTTTCAAACTCCTCCCTCTTATCAAAGGAGGCATTATCGTTATTAGTGTACATGACATTCAAGCCAGAATTTGTTCTCGTTAGCGTCTCTGCTCTTAGTAATAAACCCGCTCCACCCACATTCTCGAAGCTGCAGCATTTGCTAAGTACACTGTATTTTTGCAGGGTGTGGTTAAAAATGTCATTGTTTACCAGGCGCTCGTTCCTCCTGTCGGTAGGCTGAGCTGGTGCCGCCTCCCGGGTGGGGGGTGAGTGGGTGGAGGTTCACTGCTGCCCCTGGCCCTGTGTCCACACTTGTTTCCACTACCCTCCCCATGAGTATAACCTGCACCTGTCCCGTTCCTCCTCGACTCCTCCCTCTTCTGCTTCAAGTCCAGCAGGAGCTTCTTGTCTGTTCCCTCTGCATTACCGTGCGGTCTGGGTGAATAAATACATCCCAAAATGCCTCGCTCCTTGCTAAGTTTTTTGCCTGCGGGATAACTTGCCATTTTCCTCCTCACTCCCTAGTGTGATCCTGAGGGGCGAGGCTTAGCCCCCTGCTTTTGTCCCAGTCTCCTCACATCCTGAGGGTTGCTGGAATCTTCAGAACCTTGCAAATATTTTGAAACAGCACCTTGTCGTGTGTTTCCTTACTCACAGTTCCTCTGCCTGGCTCTCTTCCAAAAACTATTGTTCCTCTGGAGCCGTTCCTGGTGTTCCTCCTCTCCCCTAACAGTAGGTGCGTTAATTTTCATTTCTTGACACACTTTCAGAGTCCCAATCTGCTGTAGAACCTGTACTGATTCTGCATTACTCTTCGCCCCCCGTGGCCCTCTAACACGTCCGCATAACTCCTCTTAGCAACCACCTCCATTCTATTAGCTACTTCCTCAGTCTTAGCAAGGATCTCTTTCCCAACTTGCTCCAGTTTGTCAACCAGCAGGGCTCCTGCTTCATCTATTTTCGTCCCTAGAGAACTCGTTCCCTTATGGATTTTATTATATTTTTAGCCCCCAGGCCCCAATGTGGGTCAGTGATCAATGCCGGGTGGGCTAATATAAAAAAAAATAAAAATTCTGAAAACCGAAAAATTAGTAAATCAAAATGCCTCTGGCCCCAAGGTCTGCGGATAAAGGATTGTCAACCTGTAATAATAATTATTAATAGTAAGTAAAAATTTAATAAAAATACACCAAATAAGATAATACTGATAATAATAATATTAATAATAAAATTTAATAATAGAATTAATAATCATAATAACAATAATACTGTAATAATAAAATAATAATAATAATAAAGAAAATGCAAGAATGAAAAAAAAGATCAAGTGAGAAACACACGAACCTATGAATAATTATTATTATTATTATAATTTTTATTATATTCCCCATCCCCCCACAGGCCTCGATGTGGTCGGTGATCTATGCCGGTGGGCTAATAAAAATAAAAAACCTAACCATTCTGAAAACCGAAAAATTCCGAAATCGAAATGCCTCTGGCCAAAGGATTTGGATAAGGATGTCAACCTGTATTTGGTTCCCAACTAAAATAACTATTTACCATTAAACATTTTCACAGACTGGTCAATCTCAAGTAGGAGTGGAACAAAACCAACAAGTTAAATAACTTGTTGTACAGTAATAGTTATACTACAGTATTTACAATGTATTCTAGAAACAATAATGGCAGTAACTAAATAGCAGGTTTGCTCAGTATGAAAAGTTACCCATTGATAAAACATATATATATGTACTAAATGAATTCGGTAATCACAACTTATTCAGTTCACTTCCATTTATCTATGATTCCAAAACAATTACTGTATACGAGTATATTTTGAGAAACTGCCATGGTGGTAAGAACAAGTTGGAAGAATACTGTACCAGAAGGTTAGCTATGTACAGGTTACCTCCCTCTTTTTTTTTTTTTTTTTTTTTTTTTGAAATCACTGCCTGGAAATTGCTTTCAGATATTATATTATTGGAAAAGAAGATTAGGTTGAAGAACAATGACTACAATAAATACTGTACCTGTAATTATAAAAAAGATGTTTTCACTTCCCTTTTTATTGTATATAATTGTATGTCTTTCCCAAGAGAACATGACTGCAGTTCCCAGGACACAGTTGCCGTCTCTGAGATCCGCTGTCAATTTGGCAAGCATCACCCTACATGTAGCAATGCCCAGGTTCCCATATCAGCACAATGTTCTTGCACATATGTAGTTTATTAATAATGTTACCTGTTCCTCTTTATTGGTTGTATTACAATTTTAAATTCAAAAGCTGGCATAGAGTTATATGATAGCTACTATGCATTTTATAAAGAATGTGGAGAGGTAGGAGGGAGAAACAAACAAACAAACATTTAGACAGATGCTGAGAAATGTGGTTGACTGTAGGCAAGCACATCACAAATGTGAAAAGACTTGGTAAATGCAGAGTGCAGTTTGTGAAAATCACCATCAAACACAAGCACAGGAGTAATATCTTAGCACAAAACCTCATACAATTAACATAGTATAATAATACCTATCACCAGAACATATTATATAAATGGGTCAATAGATAATTATATTCAGATTCACCACCCTATCTTTCCTGGCTATGAGGTGACATGTTCAATGCACGTGATAAGGTGTGCCCGGAAGCTGTGTCATATTATGCTGAGTAAAGGCATAAGCAGCCGGCTCTCTGGCCACCTGAGCGAGCAGTAGTTTGATATCCTTGACTAGAGGAAGGCGTTATTTGAGAGCCTGATGGATGCGTCTTCTCGAGGGAACGACGTTACCCATACCGTTCTCCGATGGATCACTACTCATGAGTCACTCACAGCAACTTATATCATAGGGCGTGATCTAACGTTAATATTACATAACCGTCCTTTCTCATTCACTCATATATAAGTGGAACTTGAATTTGATCTACACTCAGGAATTATAGATACAATCCTTTTATAATAAAACATCTGCTTGAGGAACATACTGCAAAGGTACTTATATCCTAACCTTAATCTATTGTTTACAACATCTTGTAATCTAGTGATCTTGTTACTTGCTCCATATACATGTTTCACCTGATACATCTCATCATGGTAAACTATGGATCGACTAGTGCCTCTTTACTAGTCTACTTTCATCAAATCATCAATAAGTTTTCTTAACATGGCAGATGTTCACTGTCCTTCATTGTCTGTAAATTTTAGTATAAACTTGAGTGATCACAACAATTGCTATGGTACCAGTGAGAAAGGCACCCAAAAAATTACCTTGGCATACAACCAACACTTTTCTGAGATTTTCCAAAGCAAAAAATTTAAGTAGCTAACCTCTGTTTTTAGACACTTTTCAATACAGTGCTTGAACATTACAAGTATCCACATTTTACTGTACACTTTACTTTAAAACAGATTTCTAATTTTCTGGAGGCAATTGTTCTAGCGTAACTCCAAGTAAAGTATTTGCCGTGAACTGTTTCAATTTCTCCGCAACCAAAAAAAAAATTCTCACAGTATTACAAACTATACTGTACACTGGAAAATTACAGAACAAAATTATTAGCACTCTGGAATATTCATTAGTTACAGTGAAATGATTGAAATTACTGCAGAGAAATGGTTATTTCAAATCACATTTAAGCAAAACTTACCCACAGTATCACTTTTTATTCCTCCTGACCTTGATACCATGTAATTACAACCCACCACAGCTGCAAACCAATGTAGTAGCGTGTTTTCAACACCTACACCACCCTTATCTTACTTACTTCTCTTATCTTACTTCCTCTTACTCAGTTCTGTCACATATTCTTTGGGTAGCATGGACATTCTTTTGGTAGCATGGACATTCTTTTTGTAGCATGGACATTCTTTGGTAGCATGGTCATTCTTTTTGGTAGCATGGTCGAGGGTCTAGGAACATGGGTATTGTAATTCTGGTATCAAGTCACATGGGCGGAAATAAAGGTAAAAAACTGTGGGAGAAATGAATCACCTAAAATACTCTAAGAACAAGTTAATTAATATGAAAGCAAAGGAAAGATATATTATTAGCATATAACTACCAGGCTCAACTCCTGGGCTTATTGCAGACTCAGTACTTTCTTCTTTACGTTTTCTTATTTCTTTACTCAACAGTAATTTCTCATGTAGTATCTTGCGTTATTTAATGGGAGAATGACAAGCACATGGTCGGTCTGGCTGTGGCGTTTATTCTCTCGTTATTGGTTACAACGTGCCTAACACATTTCGTGTTTACACAAGCCTAAACACTTTCTGACTTTGGTAAGTAACATAATATATAATATATATATAATCAATAAATGCAGCATATAAACATACATACATATTATATATACTATTTCTCCTTTTCAAAAGAGAGCATGGCTGCTACAAATCCTAAATAAACAAAACTTACAGAATTACATATGGCAGGAAGAAGGGAATAGACACAACAAATATAACTTCCTAACTAAACAGTTCTGAAAGGCCTGTTCACAATTCAGATAATTAGAGGTCTAATTTAATTACAGGTCTCCTAACTCTGTTTGATCTTCGAGGACTATTCCTCCATCAAGTGGGGGTTTCACTTGCACTCTGAGCATTATCAGTGACAGACATA